AAACCTGGAAAACAAGCTGCAGGTGTCTCTTTCCAAAGACAGAAAGTCCAACACAAGCACCCTGCAGGCTGGAGGTTCCCAGGACTCTGACATGCTTTACAATCTGGATCATTTCACCAGAAACAGCTGCAGGTCTCTGCGCCTCCACCAGCAGAAACACTAAAGTTTCTTTGGAAACTTGACAGCAATCAGTCAAAATACAGACAAACTAACACCTTGTAACCATCTGTAACTGATGAGCATCATTAACTGCCTTTCCATCACCACTGTTTGCTAAAATTGGTTGGTATTCTGCTAATATCAACAAAACATCACACATGAATAAGTTTGTTTACACAATAAGTGAAAAGTGGGTCAAACTTTTCCACAATGATCAGAAAGTCAGTCAGTCAGACAGGAAACCACTGATGCTGGTTTATGACAACCTGCAGGTACTCAGGTTGTCATTGAAATAAAATATAAAGTATTAAAAAACCTTTAAGGTCACTGGAGCATTTAGACTGATTTGAACCTGGACCACAGGGGGCGCTGTTGCTGGGTCATGAAGTTTCTGTTGATGATGAATCAGTAAAATCACCGACAGAATCTGAGGTTGAACTGAACCTGGATCTGTTTGCTGTTCTGAGGTTATTATTGTGAACAATTTAAACACTTTCTGATGTTTATGGAAAAAGATTAAATTACTAGTCCAATCAGAAGGAGCAGAAAGTTGTTTTAGTTCTATTGAATTTGTCTGCCACTCTGCCATGTTTCATTAACACCACAAGGGGGCGCCCTCTCCCTGACTGAGCAGGCAGTGGTTCTGTTTTTGGTTCCTGGTTCGGCCCTGGGCAGAGAGCCACTTCAGCTACATTAAAAATTAATGTGTGGCTGTCAAATACAAACAATATATATCATAATGTAAATGTTTTATTTCTATTAATTATATTGTTGTTGGATTTAAAAGACATCAGAACGACTGTTATAGAAAATAATCTGATATAAAATGTTAAAATGACTTGATGAATAAATATTTTATGATTTATTAGCAACAATGAAGTCATGGAGCAACTATCCTCAGGGAGCACTGGCCCAAAATACTTGATTAGATCTATTTACACTTAAGTAACAACAGCTGTTTTTATGTAGAATTTAAATAAAATGCGACTTGGCTCTTTTTCAGGAAGCTAATAATGAATGATCAGTTTGAACCCCAGTGGTTCTCAGATCGAGTGGATCCAGTGGATCCTTTTTATCATGAGTGGTTCGGCGGGTCTCCGGTTTTTTTGTGGTTTCAAGGACTGAAGAGCTGACGGGTCACCTGGTTGGCCGAACATTAAGTCGGCTGACATTAAGACTGATGGAAACAGTTTAATCTAGTTGAAACGTCACTGCTTCTTCTCCTCTGGAGTCTGACTTTCTGAACCTGAATCTCCATTCTTCTGTTGGTCACCTGGATCCCCATCCTCCAGTTGGTCACCTGAATCTCCATCCTCCAGTTGGTCACCTGGATCCCTATCCTCCATCCTCCAGTTGGTCACCTGGATCTCCATCCTCCAGTTGGTCACCTGGATCTCCATCCTCCAGTTGGTCACCTGGATCTCCATCTTCCAGTTGGTCACCTGGATCTCCATCCTCCAGTTGGTCACCTGGGTCTCCATCCTCCAGTTGGTCACCTGTCTCCATCCTCCAGTTGGTCACCTGGGTCTCCATCCTCCAGTTGGTCACCTGGATCTCCATCTTCCAGTTGGTCACCTGTATCCCCATCCTCGAGTTGGTCACCTGGATCCCCGTCCTCCAGTTGGTCACCTGGATCCCCGTCCTCCAGTTGGTCACCTGGATCCCCGTCCTCCAGTTGGTCACCTGGGTCTCCATCCTCCAGTTGGTCACCTGGGTCTCCATCCTCCAGTTGGTCACCTGGATCTCCATCTTCCAGTTGGTCACCTGGATCTCCATCCTCCAGTTGGTCACCTGGGTCTCCATCCTCCAGTTGGTCACCTGGATCTCCACCCTCCATCCTCCAGTTGGTCACCTGGATCCCCGTCCTCCAGTTGGTCACCTGGATCCCCGTCCTCCAGTTGGTCACCTGGATCCCCGTCCTCCAGTTGGTCACCTGGATCTCCATCCTCCAGTTGGTCACCTGGATCTCCATCCTCCAGTTGGTCACCTGGATCTCCATCCTCCAGTTGGTCACCTGGATCTCCACCCTCCATCCTCCAGTTGGTCACCTGGATCCCCATCCTCCAGTTGGTCACCTGGATCTCCATCCTCCATCCTCCAGTTGGTCACCTGGATCTCCATCCTCCAGTTGGTCACCTGGATCTCCATCTTCCAGTTGGTCACCTGGATCTCCATCCTCCAGTTGGTCACCTGGATCTCCATCCTCCAGTTGGTCACCTGGATCCCCATCCTCCAGTTGGTCACCTGGATCCCTATCCTCCATCCTCCAGTTGGTCACCTGGATCCCCATCCTCCAGTTGGTCACCTGGATCTCCATCCTCCAGTTGGTCACCTGGATCCCTATCCTCCATCCTCCAGTTGGTCACCTGGATCCCCATACTCCAGTTGGTCACCTGGATCCCCATCCTCCAGTTGGTCACCTGGATCCCCATCCTCCAGTTGGTCACCTGGATCTCCATCTTCCAGTTGGTCACCTGGATCTCCATCCTCCAGTTGGTCACCTGGATCCCTATCCTCCATCCTCCAGTTGGTCACCTGGATCCCCATCCTCCAGTTGGTCACCTGGATCCCCATCCTCCAGTTGGTCACCTGGATCCCATCCTCCAGTTGGTCACCTGGATCCCCATCCTCCAGTTGGTCACCTGGATCCCCATCCTCCAGTTGGTCACCTGGATCCCTATCCTCCATCCTCCAGTTGGTCACCTGGATCCCCATCCTCCAGTTGGTCACCTGGATCCCTATCCTCCATCCTCCAGTTGGTCACCTGGATCCCCATCCTCCAGTTGGTCACCTGGATCTCCATCCTCCAGTTGGTCACCTAGATCTCCATCTTCCAGTTGGTCACCTGGATCTCCATCCTCCAGTTGGTCACCTGGATCTCCTTCCTCCATCCTCCAGTTGGTCACCTGGATCTCCATCCTCCAGTTGGTCACCTGGATCTCCATCCTCCAGTTGGTCACCTGTATCTCCATCCTCCAGTTGGTCACCTGGGTCTCCATCCTCCATCCTCCAGTTGGTCACCTGGATCTCCATCCTCCAGTTGGTCACCTGGATCTCCATCCTCCAGTTGGTCACCTGGGTCTCCATCCTCCATCCTCCAGTTTGTCACCTGGATCTGGGTAAAGTGGGTGTGGTCTATAAGTAGCTGCTGGTTCAGTTGGACATGTGTCCTCCTCATGCTCCCCTGTGGCTTCTGGCCATAAACTGCAACAAATCGCTAAGTGTGCTGCATGCTGCTCTGGTGTCCTCTCTCCCTGCACAATAGCTGATCTTTGTTAGAAAATCTGAATTTGTGTATGATTGTAGGTAAAACGCCACTGTGCTGCTCTTCTCCTCCTCTTTCTCGTTTTATGAGTATGTGTTTGAACATTTGCGTGGAATGGCAGGTAAGCATTAACGCTGATTGTCAGCTCCAGTTTATCGCAGTAAATGATTTCTTTAGGTCTGCTCCATATCTGGACCGCTGCTGCTGTTTTGTCTGCAGGATTTCTGAGCCTGTATTTCCAGATCCAGGCTGTGGTGGTCGTCCACCTCCATTGAAGCGGTGTTTAGGGTGGCCCAGTTTGCCTCCTGCTGTGCTAGAGGGCCACACCTGGTCTTGACATTTTAACTTGTATTTTCTATGTTCTTTTAGTAGTTTTTATTTTTTTGTTTACAGCCCTTTCCATTCTTTATATAACTGTTTATTTTTTTACATTGTTTTTCTTTGTTGTATTAGGTTCTGTCACATTTATTGTTTGATAAATGTTGGTGTGCTGACGATGTCTTCCTCTTCTGTGTGCCGCGGTTCCTCAGTTTGGGTTGTTTTCACTGCGTCTGGTGCTTTAAAGCATTTTTGTTTGCTGTGTTTGGTGGATGCCGTCGTTATAATGGCCCTTTCTGCTGGACACCTCAGCTGCTGTAGTTTTCTTTTATAAAGAACAAGTATTTTTTTAAAAGAATCTGATAAATGGTTTTTGTACATTTTAAAACTGTCTCTGATGTTTTAGAAACCTGCATACTGAACCTGTGTGTTACCAAGAAGGTGATATTGCTTGGGTGAAATTGCCAGTGTGGCGTTGTTGAGCAACTCATTATTTTGAATCCAAAACCTGAAATTGTCCAATATTTCTGCGTTGCATCTGGTGTTGCCACAGAGGGATGAACATGTGCAGCAACAGAGGCTGTTCAGAAGGTTATGCACACTGCTCTGCATTTTATCAACCAAGGGAAAAACAACATATGATTATGTCTGATGGAAGCACTTATGTCTTCCTAAAACATAAATGCTTAAAAACCAGACAGTTTCCTAACAAAGCTCATAATGTACATTCAGTGTTGAGTCGCTAACTTTCTCCTTGTTGACAAGGTTACCGGACAAAATATGTCAAAGATAGTTTGGTCCCAAGAACGCTCACTCGGTCATATTTCTACAAATACAATAAGTTAAAGGTTAATAATAATGTCACGCTCTTATTCAATTTCAAACCCAAAATATTTTACCAATTCTTAGAATGAATTTTGTCATACAATTAACTAATTATGAACTTCATTACCAACTTATAGAGGTCGTGCATTTCCACCAAATTATATTACAATATTTGACCAAATTGGTATAACATTGGGACTAATTTCCAGTCCTAGAGGTTCATGCCTCAGATCAAGGACCCACAAAACCTATAAATAATGTAATTATAATGTTACATATTAAGTCTATAATATGTGATCTAACACAATGTTCTGGAAAGTCTTATAATTACATAATTAACGTAGAAGCTCGTGATGTATTTTTAGAAACATAACCGAGTGAGCGTTCTTAGCACCAAACGATCTTTGACGTAGATTTCTCCAGTAACCTTGTCAACAGTGATTCAGTCAGGGGAAAGTAAGCGGGTCATGAACGTCGAGTCTGAATTATACATTTCATAGCTCGGAAAACGTTTGTCTTTGTAAGTATTTGTGTTTAGGAAGACTGAGAAATATATGTGGCTGTTTTTTATTTGGTTCCTATTATATAGAGCAGTGTATGTAATCTTTCAGTGTACCCTTAATATTTGCGTATCGGCTGTTAATGTATATTTCCTTCTGTTGTATTTCAGTTATAAAAACGTCGTGAGTTTAGAATTAAGATGAAGGTTCTGGTCAGTAATGTATTTTTCCTTCTGTTGTATTTTTGTAATCTAAAAATGTTGCGCTGCTAAAGTGTTTCTGCTAAACTGCGAATTCAATCTAAAAATAGAAGAAGCAACGCTAAGCTAGCTTCGCTAAGCTAGCTCCACCTCTGTCTTTTCCCGCCTGTGCAGGCCTCTGTCGTTTATTTGATTAATCCTAATTTCTCCGCCATTGTAACAGATTCTTGTGTTTTCAGTTACACTTCGATGTTTATGGTGTTTCGTTACAATGTTTTCCTCTCAGAAACGTCGCATGAATGTAAATTTCGGACGGAGAGACCAACCAGGAAATGGCTTCCTCTCTGCCTGCCTCTCTGTTCCTGCTGTCTGTGGTCTTCTGGGAGTTTGTCGCTGCTGCAGGTCAGATTCAGCTGTTACACCATAGAAATAATATAGAACGCTTTTGCCTGTTGGAGGTAACGTGACGTAGAGCCGCCATCTTGGACAGGTCGATCGCTCCGCTCATTCAAATCTGTGTGGCCGGCACAATTAAGTATCAGCGCATTTAATTAAGAATAACTCGCCAAATAGCAAATAGATTTTTACTCGAAACCTTATTCAAACAATTATCATTGTTATATGTACAAGGACATTTATTATTATTGTTTTTGAATTGGATTGATACATGGTTCAGCATATTTATATATTCTTAATGTGGAAAACAGAATAAAATATTTTGACCACTCCTAATATTTTTCATATTTATTTAGTAATATACTTATTAAATCTCTCTCTCTCTCTCTCTCTCTCTCTCTCTCTATATATATATATATATATATATATATATATATATATATATATATATATATATATGCTCCAGTTTGGGGGTTACTGCCCCGAGGGCCCCGATGACCACAGGCACCACTGTGGTCTTCACCTTCCAGGCCCTCTCCAGTTCTTCCCTGAGGCCCTGGTATTTCTCCAGTTTCTCCTTTTTCCTGATGTTGCAATCACTTGGTATTGCTACATCTACCACAACGGCTTTCCTCTGATGTTTATCCACTACGACAATGTCTGGTTGGTTCGCCATTACCATTTTGTCTGTTTGGATCTGGAAGTCCCACAGGATCTTAGCTCTGGCGTTCTCCACCACCTTTGAGGGTGTTTCCCACTTTGATCTCGGGGTTTCCAGTCCATATTCTGCACAGATGTTTCTGTACACTATGCCTGCCACTTGGTTATGTCGCTCCATGTACGCTTTCCCTGCCAGTATCTTGCACCCTGCTGTGATGTGCTGGACTGTCTCAGGGGCCTCCTTGCACAACCTACACCTTGGGTCTTGTCTGGTGTGGTAGATCTGGGCCTCTATTGCTCTGGTGTTTAGGGCCTGTTCCTGGGCGGCCAGGATGAGGGCCTCTGTGCTGTCCTTGAGTCCAGCTTTTTCCAGCCATTGGTAGGATTTACTGATATCAGCCACTTGGGTTATTTGCTGGTGGTACATCCCATGTAGGGGCTTGTCCTCCCATGATGGTATCTCTGGCACCTCAACCTCCGTTCCCTGTTGTCTGAGACATTCACTGAGCACATTGTCTGTTGAGGCTTTGTCCCTGATGTATTTATGGATCTTAGTTGTTTCGTCCTGGACAGTGGTTCTCACACTCACTAGTCCTCTGCCTCCGTCCTTGCGGCTCGTGTACAGTCTCAGGGTGCTGGATTTTGGATGGAACCCTCCATGCATGGTTAGTAGCTTTCTAGTCTTAATATCTGTGGTTTTATCTCCTCCTTTGGCCAGCTGATTATTCCAGCAGGGTATCTGATTACTGGCAGGGCATAGCTGTTTATCGCACGGATTTTGTTCTTGCCATTGAGCTGGCTTCTCAGGACTTGCCTTATTCGTTGGAGGTATTTAGCTGTGGCTCCTTTCCTTGTGGTCTCATCGAGGTTGCCATTTGCTTGTGGTATACCTAGGTACTTGTAACTGTCCTCTATGTCTGCTATTGTTCCTTGTGGGAGTGAGACTCCTTCTGTGCGGATGACCTTCCCCCTCTTTGTGATCAGCCGACCACACTTCTCTAGTCCGAATGACATCCCAATGTCAGTGCTGTAGATCCTGGTGGTGTGGATCAGTGAGTCGATGTCTCGCTCACTCTTGGCATACAGCTTGATGTCATCCATGTAGAGGAGGTGACTGATGTTGGCCCCATTTTTGAGTCGGTATCCGTAGCCAGTCTTGTTGATAATTTGGCTGAGGGGTTCAGGCCTATGCAGAACAGTAGCGGGGACAGAGCATCTCCTTGGTATATGCCACATTTGATGGACACTTGTGCAAGTGGTTTGCAGTTGGCTTCAAGCGTGGTTTTCCACAGCTTCATCGAGTTTGCAATGAAGGCTCTCAGAATCCTGTTGATGTTATACATCTCTAGGCATTCAATGATCCAAGTATGCGGCATTGAGTCATAGGCTTTCTTGTAATCGATCCAAGCCATGCACAGGTTGGTGTGTCGGGTTTTGCAGTCTCGGGCAACTGTGCAGTCTACGGAGTTGGTGTTTGGCTCCTCTGGTATTTACACCGATACCCTTCTGTGCCGTGCTCATGTGTTTATCCATGTGTTTGCTTATCTTGGCCGCTATGATGCCTGACATGAGCTTCCAGATTGTGGAGAGGCAGGTTATTGGTCGGTAGTTGGGTGGGACTGGACCATTTGATGGATCCTTCTGGATTAGGATTGTCCGCCCTTCAGTTAACCATTCAGGGTGAGTCCCACTTTGTAGCAGCTGGTTCATTTGGGCTGCCAGTCGCTCATGGAGAGCAGTGAGTTTCTTTAGCCAGTAGGCATGGATCATGTCAGGCCCTGGTGCTGTCCAGTTTTTCATACCTGAGACTCTTTCTTGAACATCTGTCACAGTGATGGTTACCGGGGCTTGCTCAGGGAGGTTGCTGTGGTCCTCTCGTAGAGAGATCAACCACTGTGCATTGCTGTTGTGGGACGCCTCCCTTTCCCATATGCCTTTCCAGTATTGTTTAGTCTCCAGCTTTGGTTTGTCTGCTCTGTTTGTTATTACCCTGCCATTGAGAGTACACCTTAGCTGGTTGAGTGGAGAAGAGCCGGTTAATCCTTCTGGATTCATTCTCCCTTGTGTATCTCTTTAGGCGGCTGGCCAAGGCTTGGAGCCTCTGTTTGGCAGTCTCGAGTGCTTCAGGTATGGGCATCTGGCTGTACTTTCTGGGTACTGGTCTTTTCATTGTACCCTTGTGGAGCTCTGACAGTTGGCTCACTTCCCTCCTTGTTACCTTGATTTTAGCCTGGTGGGTATTGGGTCTCATGGTTGCTCTTATAGCCAAGTATCTCAAGGATTACTGATGCTGAGTTGTAGATCAGCTCATTGGTTTCTGTTATGGGTTGGTAGGGATCGTTCTCAATGCTGCATTCACATTCTCAATGAGACTTTCTGATGGTACTTCACTCAGCCGTTGTAATTGGCGCCGAGGAGGCCTGGTTGTCATTCGGGTCATGATTCTCTCTCTCAGGTCAGCAGCTGTCTCGTTCAGCTCTGTTTCGTTCAGCTCTGTTTCGCTCATTGGGGCCGTGTATCCCCTCACTGGGTGGGGACTTGTAGTTAAGTCCCCACAGTCCTGACATCCGGGTTCCTCCCTTTTGCCGTAGCATTTGTGTTGTATCTCGTCAATCTCAAGTTGTGATAGCAGTTGCCGTTTGCGGATGTTGGAACACTGAGCTACTAGTTGTTTAGCGCTTAGTGTTGAAGTAACCATTCCTTCCCCAGTCTTTGCATGTAACCTCTCTCACTAGGGTTGCTTGAGTAGTAGCATTCCAACAGATCCACATTTTCATCTCTCGCCCATTTCCGTCTTGTTCCAGTAGCCCATTTGTCATCAAGGTGCTCTGGTTCCCCAACACCTGACGCCGGGCGACGTCTGAGCCTGCATGTTACGCAACTTAGTATCTCATGGTATGAGGTAGGCAGTAGCTTGAAGGGTCTTGCCTAAGGACCCAGACTGGATTGGAACCCCGCCCTCTCGGGTGATATACTGATGCCTTATGTATTGATATATATATATATATATATATATATATATATATATATATATATATATATATATACATCTCAGTCCAGAAATGTGCAGCAGTCCTTGGCACAGCCAAGATACTGCGCAGAACCCTCAAGCTCCCAGGCCTCTGGTAGAGGACCCGAGCTCAGAGGATAAGAACCACCCGCGGTGGGTGAGAAGGGAATTTTTTAGGTTGTGCAAGGAGCACAACCTAAAAAACTTAGGTTGTGCTCCTTGCACAACCTAAAAAAAAAAAGCTCAGACTGGATAGCTCAATACATAAGGCATCAGTATATCACCCGTGAGGGCAGGGTTCGAATCCAGTCTGGGACCTTAGGCAAGACCCTTCAAGCTACTGCCTACCTCATACCATGAGAGATACTAAGTTGCGTAACATGCCGGCTCAGATGTCGCCCGGCCAAACAAGGTCTGCGTCAGGTGTTGGGGAACCAGAGCACCTTGATGACAAATGGGCTACTGGAACAAGACGGAAATGGGCGAGAGATGAAAATGTGGATCTGTTGGAATGCTACTACTCAAGTAACCCTAGTGAGAGAGGTTACATGCAAAGACTGGGGAAGGAATGGTTACTTCGACATCCCAGTCAACACTAAGCGTTAACAACTAGTAGCTCAGTGTTCCAACATCCGCAAACGGCAACTGCTATCACAACTTGAGATTGACGAGATACAACACAAATGCTACGGCAAAAGGGAGGAACCCGGATGTCAGGACTGTGGGGACTTAACTACAAGTCCCCACCAGTGAGGGGATACACGGCCCAATGAACGAAACAGAGCTGAACGAGACAGCTGCTGACCTGAGAGAGAGACAACCAGGCCTCCTCGGCGCCAATTACAACGGCTGAGTGAAGTACCATCAGAAAGTCTCATTGAGAATGTGAATGCAGCATTGAGAACGATCCCTACCAACACCATAACAGAAACCAATGAGCTGATCTACAACTCAGCATCAGTGATCCTTGAGATACTTGGCTATAAGAGCAACCATTGTGGGATGCCCCCTCCCGGACCTGGACTCTATTTCCATAGGCCGGGTCAAGAAGAGAGCTGGATCTATAGCCATGGATTCCAGCCACCCGGGCCACAGACTGTTTGTGCCGCTTGCCTGATGGCAGCGGCACAAACAGTGCCGCTTTGCCTACAACAAACAGACTGAGAAACAGTTTCTTCCCCACAGCCGTCAGAGCCATTACTCCCTGCCGCCCCCTCCCACACATATCATAACCTCACATACACCCGTATGTTCTGCACTTTGCGCTGTCACATCATCTGCACTTTACCATAATTGGACCTGCTGCTTCTTCTTTTGGTGTGGTTGAGTGCCTTTAGTTAATTTTAGTTGTATATATTATTATTATTGTGTGTTTGTTTATTTAATATTGTATTTTTTGACTTTTTGCACGGGAGTTGCAATAGAAATTTCGTTGAATCCTGTTCAATGACAATAAATGCTATTCTATTCTATTCTATGAGACCCAATACCCACCATGGAAAAGACGGTTAGAGGCTAAAATCAAGGTAACAAGGAGGGAAGTGAGCCAACTGTCAGAGCTCCACAAGGGTACAATGAAAAGACCAGTACCCAGAAAGTACAGCCAGATGCCCATACCTGAAGCACTCGAGACTGCCAAACAGAGGCTCCAAGCCTTGGCCAGCCGCCTAAAGAGATACACAAGGGAGAATGAATCCAGAAGGATTAACCGGCTCTTCTCCACTCAACCAGCTAAGGTGTACTCTCAATGGCAGGGTAATAACAACAGAGCAGACAAACCAAAGCTGGAGACTAAACAATACTGGAAAGGCATATGGGAAAGGGAGGCGTCCCACAACAGCAATGCACAGTGGTTGATCTCTCTACGAGAGGACCACAGCAACCTCCCTGAGCAAGCCCCGGTAACCATCACTGTGACAGATGTTCAAGAAAGAGTCTCAGGTATGAAAAACTGGACAGCACCAGGGCCTGACATGATCCATGCCTACTGGCTAAAGAAACTCACTGCTCTCCATGAGCGACTGGCAGCCCAAATGAACCAGCTGCTACAAAGTGGGACTCACCCTGAATGGTTAACTGAAGGGCGGACAATCCTAATCCAGAAGGATCCATCAAATGGTCCAGTCCCACCCAACTACCGACCAATAACCTGCCTCTCCACAATCTGGAAGCTCATGTCAGGCATCATAGCGGCCAAGATAAGCAAACACATGGATAAACACATGAGCACGGCACAGAAGGGTATCGGTGTAAATACCAGAGGAGCCAAACACCAACTCCTCGTAGACTGCACAGTTGCCCGAGACTGCAAAACCCGACACACCAACCTGTGCATGGCTTGGATCGATTACAAGAAAGCCTATGACTCAATGCCGCATACTTGGATCATTGAATGCCTAGAGATGTATAACATCAACAGGATTCTGAGAGCCTTCATTGCAAACTCGATGAAGCTGTGGAAAACCACGCTTGAAGCCAACTGCAAACCACTTGCACAAGTGTCCATCAAATGTGGCATATACCAAGGAGATGCTCTGTCCCCACTACTGTTCTGCATAGGCCTGAACCCCCTCAGCCAAATTATCAACAAGACTGGCTACGGATACCGACTCAAAAATGGGGCCAACATCAGTCACCTCCTCTACATGGATGACATCAAGCTGTATGCCAAGAGTGAGCGAGACATCGACTCACTGATCCACACCACCAGGATCTACAGCACTGACATTGGGATGTCATTCGGACTAGAGAAGTGTGGTCGGCTGATCACAAAGAGGGGGAAGGTCATCCGCACAGAAGGAGTCTCACTCCCACAAGGAACAATAGCAGACATAGAGGACAGTTACAAGTACCTAGGTATACCACAAGCAAATGGCAACCTCGATGAGACCACAAGGAAAGGAGCCACAGCTAAATACCTCCAACGAATAAGGCAAGTCCTGAGAAGCCAGCTCAATGGCAAGAACAAAATCCGTGCGATAAACAGCTATGCCCTGCCAGTAATCAGATACCCTGCTGGAATAATCAGCTGGCCAAAGGAGGAGATAAAACCACAGATATTAAGACTAGAAAGCTACTAACCATGCATGGAGGTTCCATCCAAAATCCAGCACCCTGAGACTGTACACGAGCCGCAAGGACGGAGGCAGAGGACTAGTGAGTGTGAGAACCACTGTCCAGGACGAAACAACTAAGATCCATAAATACATCAGGGACAAAGCCTCAACAGACAATGTGCTCAGTGAATGTCTCAGACAACAGGGAACGGAGGTTGAGGTGCCAGAGATACCATCATGGGAGGACAAGCCCCTACATGGGATGTACCACCAGCAAATAACCCAAGTGGCTGATATCAGTAAATCCTACCAATGGCTGGAAAAAGCTGGACTCAAGGACAGCACAGAGGCCCTCATCCTGGCCGCCCAGGAACAGGCCCTAAACACCAGAGCAATAGAGGCCAGATCTACCACACCAGACAAGACCCAAGGTGTAGGTTGTGCAAGGAGGCCCCTGAGACAGTCCAGCACATCACAGCAGGGTGCAAGATACTGGCAGGGAAAGCGTACATGGAGCGACATAACCAAGTGGCAGGCATAGTGTACAGAAACATCTGTGCAGAATATGGACTGGAAACCCCGAGATCAAAGTGGGAAACACCCTCAAAGGTGGTGGAGAACGCCAGAGCTAAGATCCTGTGGGACTTCCAGATCCAAACAGACAAAATGGTAATGGCGAACCAACCAGACATTGTCGTAGTGGATAAACATCAGAGGAAAGCCGTTGTGGTAGATGTAGCAATACCAAGTGATTGCAACATCAGGAAAAAGGAGAAACTGGAGAAATACCAGGGCCTCAGGGAAGAACTGGAGAGGGCCTGGAAGGTGAAGACCACAGTGGTGCCTGTGGTCATCGGGGCCCTCGGGGCAGTAACCCCCAAACTGGAGCAGTGGCTACAACAGATCCCAGGAACAACATCAGACATCTCAGTCCAGAAATGTGCAGCAGTCCTTGGCACAGCCAAGATACTGCGCAGAACCCTCAAGCTTCCAGGCCTCTGGTAGAGGATATATAGATCTATATATAGATCTATATCTATATATCCTCTGGTAGAGGACCCGAGCTCAGAGGATAAGAACCACCCGCGGTGGGTGAGAAGGGAATTTTTATTATTATTATTTTTTTTATATATATATAGTTATTTTCCATGTTTTCTATTCGAGGAGTTCCAGCGATTCAGCAGCTGTGATTCATCCTGTGCAGTGAATCTGTCTCTCCTTAAAGACATTTTCCACTTCTTCCTCATATCGTTGTCTTTAGGAAACCTTCAAAATAAAAACAGGAGTTTTTTATATGTATCTTACATTTGATCGAGTGAAAGAATTACATATAAATAATAGCCTTTGCCACCTGTGTGTAACCGGGTTCTGCTTCACTCCACTGTACCACGCCGGCCCAAGTAGCCTCTCGATTCTGCGTTGTGGAGATTTTTAATGAAGACAAGGAGTTTTTGGGTGATCAGGCAGTTTATTTTCTGAATGAGACATATCGGTGCAAATCAGTGCAACAGCAATGCTTCACTCAGCACACTACAACAGAGCGTTATGTTAGTTTTAACTTAGCACATGACGTGCTTCACAATATTAACAAAACTAAAAGTACAAAATTGGTGCCAGGCACACATCTACTAAATAGTCATTGCACATTATTTGTCTTCAGTTGATAAAAATCATGTTTTATGTGTTGCCTTTCTATGCTGTGTGCTGAAAAGTGCAACTCGGGGTCCAGTAACGTATAACAAGCCATACAGAGAGGGGGCACTATTTCCCCATTGCACTGACACATATAAAGCAAGTGGAATCTTCAACCTAAACATCGTTACATGTATAAACCTGTGAATGATAAAACATATTTATAATGACACATATAATATTTTATTTCTAAGGTAGACTCTTGTGTCAGATACTCTGACTCTCAGTTAGCATTCATAGTTTGGGTTGAACCCTGGCATTACACCAAGAATTAAAGCTGATATTAGCTGTTATTTTGCAGGTGGACATAAATACAGTTCAGTAAAATATAAACTATAATATGTTCATCTTAATTATGTAACTTTATCCCCGAGATCTCACGTCAACAGATCAGGACAAAAGTATCCGGCAGAGCTGAGGCTTGTTCTGCTTTTTTTTTTTTTTTTTGCCAAGGAGGACGACCGCTCCAAGATGGCCGCCGTATTTCCTGCATCCGTCTTTGAACAGAAAAGTAATTGTTAGGGAAGAACAAATATGAATGTTTGGGCCGATGTTGATATCCGATATTAATACTGATGTTATGGCAGCAATTACCAATATTTTTACTTGATCAAACCTTTTTAATTACTTGATTAATAAGATAATTGTTTGCAACATCCATAAAAACATGAAAACAGCCACACCAGTTTCAGAAATCATTAGTTTGATGCTTTGAGGTGTGACCTCTGACCTCTGTGTTATTCCCCTCCTGCAGATCCGGTCACAGTCAAAGCTAAAGTTGGAGGAGGCGTCATTCTGCCATGTAAAACTGCTGGGGACAAAGCTATTGTACAGGCAGAGTGGAGCAGACCGGACCGGACATTGGCGCCGGTTCTTCTCTACAAGAACAGGAAGGTGGATCACCACCAGCTGGCTACTTATAAGGGCCGCACGTCTCTGCTGAACGTACAGAAAGGAGACCTGTCTTTGGTGCTGAAGAGAGTGGTGAGCAGAGACGCCGGAAAGTATGAGTGCCGAGTTAAGCTGGGAGAGAGCCTGCCAGATCTAGAAGAAGAAGAAGAAGAAGAAGAAGGAAACAGGAGGAGTCATATCCCTGATAGGCCGCGCAAGAGGAAGGGTTCTGAAGAGTGACCCAATCAGCATTGTTATCCTGACAGTGGAAGGTCAGTCTGTTTTGGATCAGAACCTCCCTCTCTATTCCTGCTGAACTCCGGGGTCAAGGGTCACAGTGGCCCACCAGCAGTAGGTGACTGGTTTATGCATTAGCGCCCCGGTCTGGTGTGGAGGGTGTCTCGCCACAGGACCAAACTAGTATGGGTCAGGAGGATCGGTCTGCCTTTACCAGAACCAGTGCTTGATACTGGTATCGTTTCACACTAATTAAATAAATCTAGTTTTTCACTTCAGTTAAATCCTAATGAAGCAATCAGCCAGAAATCAGGAGCGTAGTCAGCATCATGCTGTGGGGACAACAGCGCGACGCCAGCAGGTGGCGCCATCAGCGCCCAGTGTTTGGATGTAGACCTGTCCTGTCTCCTGGCTCCTCTCTGCAGGTGGGTCCAGCCACGGAGGAGACGGCCTTAGACCCAAATCTGTCCTGCCAGTGGGTCTTCTGGCTCTGCTGGCTCTGATTGCTGGACTGCAGTGAGCCACTGCAGCAGCACAGGTTCATCCTGCAGGGGGCGCTGATGCTCTGAAATATTAAATGTTAACTTTAATCTCACAGCAGATTCCTCTACGTCTCTAGATTCTCTTTGAGCTTTCATTGCTTCAGCACACCTGAGTACATATATATATATATACTGAGTTATATAATTAGTTTTGATATAAACTAATTATATAACTGAGCTAATATAATTAGTTTAAATGAAAACAAATAACAGGAGTTAATAAATTCCATTAGAGAAATAACAGATTTTATTTGGACATGAGGCAAATGCCTTGATTTTGTAGCTGAATACATCTGACTGGTCAGAAAATTTGATATTAAACTGTATTTGTAGAGTTATGTTACATTAAAATAATTGAGCCAATGAGTGAAGATCCCCTGACACAGCGAGGCGTTCTGCAGCCAGAACAGCGACCCGCCCCACCAACACGTCCTCCATCTTGTTTCCTCATAGGTTCAGATGCAAAATCTGGATCAGAACTGATCAGAACCTTCTGATCGAACACTTTGTCTCTATTGCCAGGATATTAGGAAATAAAATGAACCATGAAGTCACTGGTAACAGCATTGTCCTTGAAAGAAAGAGGCTGTTGAGACCAAAGCACCAGACTGATGAGTTTATATTCCAGATACAGCAGAAGATAACTGGGAGAAATTATGGAAAATCAGATAATACAGAGAGGTAGAGTTCATCTTCTGTGATTTAATGCACTTCATGGAGCAAAGTTTTAACTTTCCCAATAATTACAAATACTGGGCGCTGAACTGGGAGCTCCACTGACAGCACAAATGTCGCTCTCGCCACTGATTGAACTCAGTGCCGCATGTTTATAAGTCCTGGAAAGTAAATAACTGTACAGTAAAGTTATTTAGCCTGTCATGAAGAAAATTCAAAGTCATATTTTCACCAATTTACTCCTACATTTGTAAATGTCAGAAATCCAAACTAAATATTTAGCTTCCATATTAAATATTTAGTTGGCAAGCTAAAGATTTGATGAGAATTTTTGGCCCACTGGATTAAACAGCACTGTCTTTATTTTAGGGAAACATTGTCATGGTAAATGTGATTATTGTGAAGCTGATGAGACAATAGAGCATGTTATGTTATTCTGTCAAAAGGTTATGGAAGAAGCACAACGGTTGATTCAAAAGTTAAATAGGTTTAAAGTAAAATTTTATATTGTTGATTTACTTACAATAATTACAAGGATTCAGTGAGCTGCTGAATCTTCTCTCTGTAGGGGGTCTCGTTGTTGTCTGAAATGAGACCTGCTACAGTTGTGTCGTCCGCGAACTTCACAACTGTGTTGGTGGGTGGATGGCCACACAGTCGTGTGTAAACAGGGTGAAGAGAGCTGGGCTGAGCACACAGCCCTGCGGCGTGCCTGTGTTGAGGACCAGTGGGGATGATGTTGAGCCACCTATTCTCACATGATGTTTAATTTCAAACTAAGAGCCTATTGCCGCCATAAGGGTGCAATGATATTAGCCTGCATTATCTTTTTCTCTCATGCTAATGCCTTGCTGCGCAAGGCAGAGCATTAGTATGAGCCTTTTACCTTAAATAAGGTATTAGCTACTTCTCTGACTTATTAGCCATGTTTAGTATACTGAATGGGGTAAATCAATTTCAGACGACATTCTAGTGATGTCCCATGTGCTTCTGACAGCATTTAGATTTACATTAGCATTTTGGCTAATTTTAGCTTACACACTTAATTTTAAACATACTGAATGCTGCAAGTCCATGTTAGTTAACATGCTTGTGACTCTCCACAGGCTATTGACTACCACTTAGCTAAGCTTAGCATTGATGCTAATTTTTAGTATCAGAACGCTGGGTCCAAACCGATGGGCACAGTTTGGGAGGCCCCAGTTAAATTTCTTCAGGAATTTTCTCGTAATTTATTACTATTACAATCGTTAGCTGCAGCTAATTAATATTTTTTCTAAAATGATAAGATTAGATTATATTGGATTATTACAAAGAAGTGCAATATCTCAGTTTCTCAAGATTTGATAAATTAAATCTTCTATATTGTAGAATATGAGATTTTTGTTTCATGTAGTTTGAGCGTTGCTGCAGTACACTTCATACACTAGTTGGAGGCGGGATAAAAATGCCCTCTACAAAGGTGTTAAAGACTGTTTTTATTCTCTGGTTTTAGGTTATTCTTTCTCAGTGTGTGTTTGTCATATTGCTATCATGAAAGTGGCCACGAGAAAATCAAGAACAAACATCAACAAGGCATTTTGGCTCATTTACATATTGTGAAGAATTATCTGTGTAGATAATCTAGACTAAAAACATTCAATGACTAAATTAGGACTAAGACTAAAAAACACCTCAGAGTGCAGAGATCGGGTCCTTTCTTTGACTCACTGACTGTTGAAAGCGGATGTGGAAGAATAGAGACAACTGTGACCTCTGACCTCTCTGTGTTTCCTCTCCATCAGAACAGATCTACATCAAAGCTACAACCGGACTGGATGTCACTCTGCCCTGCAGAGTCCCTGCCAATAACCCCATCCAGGTCGTAGAGTGGAGCAGAGCCGGCCTGGGGTCAAAATTTGTGCTCCTGTTCAAAGACGGGATGATGGATAAAGATCAGCAGCATCCGTCTTTTAAGGACCGGGTGGAACTGTTGGACTCCAACATGAAGGGTGGAGACGTGTCTATAGTTCTGAAGAAAGTTCACGCCCGCGATTCGGGACAATTTGAGTGTCGAGTCATTCAGATGGCCCCTGCAAACGAACTCAGGCGGAATGTCTACCTGTATATAGCTCCGCTCCCTGTGCCAGGTGAGACTTTGTCTCTGGATCAGAACCTGCCGCAGCTTCCTGGTTCTGAATCTCAGATCAGATGATGATGATGATATGTAAAGTAACTTTTTAGTTATTTTCAGCAGCCGCTAATACCACCACCTGTGAAAATTACATTGATCTTTCCCAATACTTAATTGCAAGTTATCTTATAAAGGTAACAATGTAGCTGCACTCATAAGGTTGAACTGAAGAGTATTTTAATGGTTACAACATTCCAAAAACAAACCAAAAAAAAAAAACGTTTGTAATTTGTACATGTTTTTGAGTGTCCCACTGTTGTCTGGAAAACTCTAAAAAGGATTTTAAATCCCCCATTCTTGCCTGTAGCCTCCAGGTTGTGCGTTACGGCCCTGTGTTTGGTGTCAGAGCGCACAGCTCTACCTGCCAATCCACAGTTCAGATGGCTGCTGCACAAATTTGTGACATTTATCTAGATATTAATAATTATAATGGTGTTTAGTTGCACAACTTTACGAACTTTTTCATTCGTGGCTGTTTTCACGTTTATTGCGCTGTTCAGATTGGTCTCGATGTTTCCAATTTTCTGGATAGTTTGACGTCATTCACAGGTAATATTATCTTGACATTAACAAAGACACAGCGGGGCGGATCATCCGGGAAATGATGGACAGGGAGAGCCTTACTAAAACCACCTTAATGATGGACAAATTCTGGGTTTATTATGAGTCTCTGCTTATTTCCAAGCCCAAATGAGGAACTTCATGTTCAAAAACGAACCCGAAAAGGCGCAACCCGTGACGCATTCAATTTTCAAAGCCACTTCGAATAATTGAACTCAAAATAGTTCCTGTTTTTTCACCAACAAAATGTGCATCTTCCTCCATTGTTTACATTTCTGTCGCTGATTTTGTCGTGTAAAGTTGTCGGTAACTCGACAAGAAGCGTAGAGGGAATACAATTAAATAACACAAGAAGATAGTAACGCACAGTAACGCAAAGTGATTTCAATAAGTAACTGTCATCTGACTACTGGATTTGAAATAGCAATGCGTTTAGATTACTCGTTACTGAAAAAAAGACTCCATCACTGTGTATAACTGACTTAACTGGACCACTGTTACACATGGATTAGTGTTGTCATTTAACATGAAGCTTACTGAAATTTTCAAAATAAAAGCCTCAATATTCCTCTCAGGTTAGTGCAACGCCGTAAGTGGTGCAACAATATTAGCTTGCATTATCTTTTTCTCTCTGTAGCATAGTGAAGTTAGGGCACTGTTTTGCACAGCAAGACAGTGCATTAATGTTAGCACAAACATTAACATTTTACTGCCTGTCTCTAGTGAACTGCCATAGGCTATTATGTTTCAAAGTAAACACCTCAATATTTCTCTCAGGTTAGTGCACCGCCATAGCAGTGCAATAATATCAGCCTGCATTATTTATTTCTCTCAGGTTAGGGCACAGCAAGGCAGAGCATTAGCATTACCTTTTACCTTAACTAAGGTATTAGCTATTTCTCTTATATATTAGCCATGTTTAGTATACTGAATGGAGTAAGTCAATTAGACAAAAGGATAGTGACACCCCACATATTACTAACAGTATTTACGCTAACATTAGTATATTGGCTAATTTTGGCTTATACACTAATTTTAACATACTGAAGTCAACATGCTTTCAACTCTCCACATGCTATTGATGACATTGCAGCTTTCTTAGCATTGATGCTAATTTTTAGTATCAGAACGCTGGGTCCAAACCGACGGGCACACTTTGGTAGGGCCCAGTTAAATTTCTTCAGAAATGTTCTACTAATTTATTACTTTTACAATTGTTAGTTGCAGCTAATTAATGTTTTTTCTAAAATGATAAGATTAAATCGTATTGGATTATTAGAAAGAAGTGTGAAATCTCAATTTCTCAAGATTTGATAAATTAAATATATTTTGTAGGTTATGAGATTTTTGTTTCATGTATTTTAAGCGTTGCTGCAGTACACTTCAAAAATCCTGCCGGTGCTTTATTCTCTGGTTTTAAGTTATTAACATCTAACTACAAAGATGTTAGAGAACATTTTATTCTCTGGTTTTAGGTTGCAACTAACGATTTGTGCTAACTAACGATTTGTGCAACAAAACACAAAGAAAGAAGCAGTGCTAAGCTAGCTCCATCTCTACATTTTCCCGCCTCTGCAGGGCTGTCTCATCGTGCCGTGTTAGAACTTTTTCTCAGTTTTTTATTTATACAAATTTCTCTGCAATTCTAACTGTTATTAGAATTATTTCACTAACTGTTAGACTGTATTTTTTGGTGTTTCTTTGAAATATTTTCCACTCAGAAACCTCTGATGAATGTAAATTTGGACGAACCAGGGAATAGATTCCTCTCTGCCTGTCTCTGTTCCTGCTGTTTGTGGTTTTCTGGCAGTTTGTCGCTGCTGCAGGTCAGATACAGCTGTTACACACAACTGAATCTCTTGATGAACGACCGGATGAACAACAACAGGCAGGTCGTTCATCAAACTAGTCGGTTGGAATCACTAACGTTTATATCCTCCATGTTGAGAGTGGCTTTTTTTAAAATCCCCACTACAAAGGTGTTAAAGACCGTTTTTATTCTCTGGTTTTAGGTTATTCTTTCTCAGTGTGTGTTTGTCATATTGCTATCATGAAAGTGGCCACGAGAAATCAAAGAACAAACATCAACAAGGCATTTTGGCTTATTTATATAATGTGAAGAATTATCTGTGTAGATAATCTAGACTAAAAACATTCAATGACTAAATTAGGACTAAGACTAAAACACCTCAGAGTGCAGAGATCGGGTTCTTTCTTTGACTCACTGTCTGTTGAAAGCGGATGTGGAAGAATAGAGACAACTGTGACCTCTGACCTCTCTGTGTTTCCATCAGAACAGGCCAACATCAAAGTTACAACTGGACTGGATGTCACTCTGCCCTGCAGTGACCCTGACTATAACCCCATCCAGGTCGTACAGTGGAGCAGACCCAGCCTGGGGCCAAAATTTGTGCTCCTGTTCAAAGACGGGATGATAGATGAAGATGAGCAGCATCCATCTTTTAAGGGCCGGGTGGAACTGTTGGATTTCGACATGAAGGACGGAGACGTGTCTATGATTCTGAAGAAAGTTCAGACCAGCGATGCGGGAATATTTGAGTGTCGAGTCATTCAGATGGCCCACGGGGAGGAGCTCAGGAGGAGGGTCTATCTGGATGTAGTAGGTGAGTCAACCTGCATGTAGCTCCGCCCCCTCCACCAGGTGAGACTGTCTCTGGTTCAGAACCTGCAGCTGCTTCCTGGTTCTGGATCTCAGATCAGATGATGATGATATGTTAAGGAATATCCATATTTATCCCACACAATCTGAACATTTTCATTAATTTATTTTCAATATGTGGTATTTGTATATAATCTAAGAGGAAGTAGCAGATTAGCACCAGATTTTAAACATACTTCCCATTGAGCCCAGATTTTTGTTATAAATATTTTTATTGATATTATAATTAACTTTCATAGTTTTCTAAGCTGCTAAGTGAACAATCATCATCAACAGAAATAAAAGCTGGAATACTTCAGTCAGTTTGGAATCAATCTCTATAAAAAGTTACACTTAGTGAATAGTTACTTTTAGAAATTAACTCTTCATTTTTCTAATTTACTGTCACCTTTACTTCTGCTAACTAACATCTACCAGCTAACATTATGGACTAAATGAAGGAAACTTACAGCTGGTGACATGAAGCCGATGCCTGAAGCAGCACTGTCCATTTATCTAGTCTGAGCGCCGCTTTGCTCCCAGGACCTGAGCTGATGTTGATAGACTTGCTAGACCTCTTTCACGCTTCCGTGTTTTAATGTGGATGTGGGGTTTGACAACTTCTGGTGGCTATTTCATTAGCTCTGAAAGGCTAACGCTAGTTTCGGCGCAGTTGTTTTTGTCCAGTCCCTGGATGTTCATGTGGTGCAAGAAAACATCTGTATCTGTCCTATCGTGCGATCCCAACGGACCGGACCTACAGAGGCAGTGGATCCACGCGATCCGAAGAGATGAAGGTTCCGACTTATGCATAAAGATGGGGAGCACTTTCGTATGTAGCCGCCACTTCACACTGGAGGATTTAGAAGTGGCGCTGTTTCTTGCCCTTTTGCCTGGAATAACTTCACTGCCCCAACAACGAGCGAGTCTGCTTTCGAGGGCTAAGAAACCGCAGTTTGTCCTCTCAGAAAGCTAGCCAGGCTAAAGATGCTGCTGCAGATGATTATATGGAACAGCCACCCACAGGTAAACATCAAATTTAGACAGTACATTGTATCCACTAGACATGTAAGATAATTTCAGTCAAATATAACTGTTCAACAGACCCTTAAATAGTTTTAAGTTTAATAGTGTATTACATAATTTCTGTTCAGCGTTACTTTTGTCCCTTAATACATACGTAGTTGGGGCAGTAATGATGTCGTCATATCTGGTGGGGGGTGGAGTAGCCGAGCCACAGTGCTAGCACGTGGGAGAGACAGGATACGTGTGTTGGCCTCATAAGTGTGTGTTATTGACACGTAAGTTGCGATATTTGCATGTTTAGTGCAGCTAAATGAGTGATTTGTAGTTGATGTATTTACTGGTATTTGACCTGTTGCCCAGTCCCAGCTGAATGTTCTAGGTGTGTGTTGAAGTATGTTGTGCTGAACATATATAGCTACTTGACGGCGCAGAGGCATAGTTATTAGTTAATTTGTCTTAGTTTATTTAATGTATAATGCATGGTGTAATGTGTAATGATAGAATACTTGGAACTTATTTTCCGTATTTCTGTTTATTCTGGGAGACCACACACACGATTACACACACGTATGCCAAGCACTCACCCACACCCACCGAAACACACCTTGATGCCCACTACTGTTGTTGGATTAAGATCTGTAAGCTAACTTGGAAAGCCACAAGGAACCTGCCTCATGTCTCCTTCTTCCACCTGCTGCAAAACATCTGGTCCTGAACTGAATCCTGGCCGACGTTGTGTCTGAAACCATCTACAACTTTAGAGCAGACTCACCTACAATAACTATTACTATAATAATTTGGTTATTATTATGATCACAAAACAGTGAAATCATTATTGTGAGATTATGTGATAGTTATGTATCAAGACAATAGCTATACATGCACCGACTCACATGTATTGATCTTCACAGAAGTAATGTTATATCTATATAATTAAAACTTCATGCTAACTGTATTTTATGCTATTTAATTTTGTGGTTTTAAAGGTGCACTTGATGAAGCTCTGGAAGGAGTTGGAGGCCAGACTTCAAAAGTGGATTTATCTGCCACACTTTTTAGCCACTACTATGCTTCTGATGACCAGTTCTACCAAATTTCCATCTGAATGTGTTTTCTGAATCCATCGCATCTTCTGCATCATGCCTTGTGTACTGGACCAGAGCACAGAAACTTGGAGAGGAAGCATGTGCTGAAGCCAGATTGATGAGGTCCTGATGTACTCATTCAGGGTAGCAGTGGTACTGTCAGCCGAGTGACCATCACCTGGGCCAACCACCTCTTCATTGTGTTCTCTTCCATCAACATGTGGATTACCGTATTTTCAGGAGTAAAGTCGCACCGGAATATAAGTTGCATTTTTGGGGAAATTTATTTGATAAAATCCAACACCAAGAACAGACATGTCATCTTGACAGACAATTTAAAATAAAACTAGAATAGAGGCAACAACAGGCTGAATAATTGTCTGTTAACGTTACATGATGCATAACGAACTGAGAACGTGCCTGGTGTGTTAACATAACATTAAGAGTTATTCAGGTAGCTATAGCGTATTTAACATGCTAACAAGTTTACCAAACCATCCATGTCTCCAAATTACTAAATTTTCATCTTCTGTGTTGCTTGCAAACAACTCTGCCAAGTCTGGAACTTACCTTCTACCACACATATTATCAACACCGGCCTAGAGCGCCCTCTTGAGGCTTAGTGTGAAAATAACATGTGATATGATATAATAAGTGTTGATAATTTCACACATAAGTTGCTTCAGAGTATAAGTCACACCAAACTATGAAAAAAACCTGCAACTTATAGTCCGGAAAATACGGTAGTCATGAGAAGGTAAAAGCCTTTCTCAGCAATTTCTGAAGTTCTGTCCAAATGTCCATGTCATTGATCCACAGAAAGTTGCTCTGGAGACGCCATCATCCCTCACCTTACAGTCTGAAACGTTCTGTACCTACAAGAACCCGACCACTGTGAATGCTTTGATTGGAGATGCTCTCTGTGGCTTGGTGACAGTTACTGTACACAGGCTGCATCTCAGACAAAGAAATATCGAAGGTCAGGGGAGTCCTTCCTCTGCTTGAGCTGGGAGATAAAGTCATGGCAGATAAAGGCTTTTCATTCAAGAACTCCTTCATGAACCATTCCACCATTTAGGCATCCTGGCCAGTTCAGCAAGAAAGAGTTAGAGAGCCAGACCATTGCTCGGCTGCAGATCACTGTAGAGCAGCAATTGCTAGAGTAAAGTGCTACCACATCTGGGATTCCCTGGTGCCTCTCACTTTAATAGGAACTGCCACTCAAATCTGGCACACCTGTTGTGTTTTGGCAAATTATCAAGGCCCACTTTGTGTTGTAGACTAAATTATTTCTTTATGTCAATTGTTGTAGTACTATGGAAAAAGTTATTTAAATGTCTAGACTTTTGCAAAAAATATTCAATTAAAACATACTTGAGCAGCATACTGTACCTTTTTTTATTTTCTTGCTTGAGTTGAATTGCAAGGAAAACAAATCAAGTACAATTTACAATAACTAGCAAAGACAAAAAACCCTTAACTGTTTCATATTTTATAATTGTACACCATACATTGATTTAAATTATGCAAATTAATATATATCAAATCTAAGCAATAGTTGCAAATACTTAAGACAACCTTAAGCATTTTCAAAACAAGTTACAAAACAACTGCAGTTAAGAAACATTTTTGTAAATTGTGCAACGTCCTTTTGAAGATATTTGGACGTCTGTGTATGTTTCACTGTAATCACTGTAAAACAACTATTTACAGTGATTCACAGCTTGAGATTAGATATTTGAAATGCAAAGGAACAAAAGGGTAAGTTACACATTCTATAATTCTTATTGCATTGACATGAACAGTGAAGGTGTTGAAGTAAAATAAGTCCAGGTTAAATTTCATTTGATGAATGAAAGAGCCGCTCAACAGTTGTTAGCGTGTCACTGACAAAGTCGCACCATTCCAACCCGCTGATTGCCCGCTGACCCTGTACCTGCCAGTAGTCGGCGTGTCAATGCCTCAAAACCGCAACCTCAAACACATCATTCTTTATGCTGCTTTTTACCTCAACCAGTCCAAACGGGCTGATTCTGACGGGTCAGACACCATCTGGAGTTGCATAAACATATCATGTGTCAGGGTGAACAGTGAATCCTACAGGAAGCACTTTGACCCTCAACATCTCAGCAGTTTGCCAGCATCTCAGACTCCATCTGCAGACCACGCTTCATGGCGGCAGTTTGTCTAGTGGAGCCCTGATCATGCCAGATGCCAGGGCTCTGGCAGCAGACTCCTCTGCAAGCATCACGGAAACGGCTAGCAGGAAGTCTTGGTTGTCGAAGATGTACCCATGCAGGACATCTGGACTGCTCTCTTGTTCTGGCCTCTATTAAAAAAGACATTTCCGGTGACACTTGCAGAGACTGAAGATGCAGAAGTTGACAGTGTGGGCACAAAGCACATACTCAGAAGACATTGCAGCATCAAAGGAAGAGAAGGGAAGTCTGGAGCCATGCGGTGCAGAAAGATGCGACCAGAGGACTTCTCCGGTGGGCACTGATAAGACATTGGTGAACCCTGTGGCACAGACCCAAATCTGGATGGAACCAGCTCCAAATGTGAAAGACCATCTAGGACAAGAGCAGGAAGTTGTTGGGACTCCAGCTGCTGTAGTTTTTCTCCTGATGCCAGAATGCCAGGATCTGGAAGTGGTCCTACAAACATCAGTGACTCAGTCATAATAATTATAAGTTTTGACAAAGGAAACATAGGGACAACAAATAAACCAAAAGTTATACCTGTGTAAGCTCTGAAAAGTGTGGAGTGCAGATATCTTTCCCCAAAGTTTTGGGCTTCCGCACCACCATGTCGCTGACAGGTTCAGGATGTTGCAAGAAAGATGACAAGCTAAAGAACAAATGAAGGGATGGCTGAGCAACTTGTTAGGACGTGACTCGAATCATTTGGCACAGTTTAGATTTTTATCAAACTTGCAACTGAAACTAATTGGTTGCAGTTGAGCCTGTATTTCTTTCATTGGCTACAGAAAATAAATATTCCAAACAAACTATGAAAGAAATTACACAAGTAATATTGAGATTACAACAAATTTGATAAGGCAATTCTAAAATACAGATTGTAAAGGAACATATATGGCTGCACGACACAATCAAAGGAGGAATAAATTGAGTACATAACGATAGTACTGTTATTTTAAGATCAAATATATGACAGTATATGTGATATAGTATGTAATTTATGTAGTATATTTATATATCATATACCAGAGGACAATGTGTTCCACTCTTTTTTGTGTCCTGTGTTCTTGGTCTGTGTAGACCAGTGCAGGAGGAACAGTTAGCAGCTGGAGCTGGGAGTAGGACTAATTGATTATTGTAACAGCGTCTTCACAGGCCTGTCCAACAAATCAATCCTCCAGATCAGCAGCTGCTGGTCCAGAAGCTGCTGGTCCAGAACCAGCTGATCCAGAACCAGCTGATCCAGAAGCTGCTGCTCCTGTTCTCACTAGAACCAGGAAGATAGAGACATAACAGCAGTTTTAAAGTCCCTCCACTGGCTCCCTGTAGCTCAAAGAATAGACTTTAAAATACTGTTGTTAGTTTATAAATCACTGAACGGTTTAGCACCATAATACATCAAAGATCTGCTGTTGTTGTATCAACCTTCCAGACTCTCAGGTTCTGGTTCTGGTTCTGCTCTGCATCCAGAACCAAGAGAGGAGAAGCAGCTTTCAGCATCTATGCACCAAACATCTGGAACAAACTTCCAGAAAACTGTAAAACAGCCTTTTCTTTTCCAACACTCAGTGACATCTAAAATAGAAAACTGTTATAGCATCACATATGTACATCAATACATAAAGCATGTTCAGCTTTAAACAAGTCATAGATTCTGGTTTGAAGCTTCAACAACAGCAGAAAACACAGACTATATAGCAACAGAAACAGAAAACAAATAGTAACCACTGAACAGGAAGATGTTAGAATAAGTTCTGAGTTCTCCAGAAGTTGTTCGTAAAAGTTCATCTGTCACGTCTGAACAGGAACTCGAACTACCGAACAACCGACTGTTTCAAACCTGCAGCTTGTTTTGTTCCTCATTTTTGTTCATGAACCTGAAGCTCTGACAACTTCCTGTCCCTCGACACTTTGACTCCACAGGGATGCAGAAGTAAAGCAGTTTCATCATCATCAACTATCTCACTACTAACATCTAGCATGCTGTTTTTCACTAACTGTAAATACATTTCAAAATGTCAAAGTATAACAAAAAAGTTTAAACTGTCTCCAATATTCTCAGTAATTAAGCAAACTAAGTTCAGTTTCATTATGATGTTTGTGTAGTTCATATATTGTAGCTAGCGGTTAGCTCGCTATATGTGGGCATTTTCTATGTGGAAGAACTTGTGGTGGGTGAATTCACCGCTGCCATTTCCTCCACATCAGCGAAAGAAAGTTCTGGTGAATTAAGTAATGATGAGGGAAAGGACCAAAGGAGGAGAAGAGACATTGATCAGACTACTTGAATTACAGTCACCTTGAAAAACAGGAAGTGCTCCAGTTCTGTCAGACGCAGCTTCAGGTTGTCCTGAAAAAGGTCCATCTGAGAATGATTTTCATTTTATAAAACAATGTGATGAACATGTTATGTGTCCCAGATCTACACTAACATGTTCAGTAAACCAGGTGGGAGTTTATCCTGACTGGAACATGCTGTGTTACTTTGACTGGTCCATGTTTGTAGTTTCTCCTGGCTGTTACTTTGACTGGTCCATGTTTGTAGTTTCTCCTGGCTGTGTTACTTTGACTGGTCCATGTTTGTAGTTTCTCCTGGCTGTGTTACTTTGACTGGTCCATGTTTGTAGTTTCTCCTGGCTGTGTTACTTTAACTGGTCCATATTTGTAGTTTCTCCTGGCTGTGTTACTTTGATTGGTCCGCCTGTGTTTCCACAGAGCCGTTTCCTGCCTGGGTCATCGTTGTGGCGGTTCTGCTCAGTTTGTGTCTGACTGTTTCCTCTGTCCTGGTGTATAAGAACAGACACCACTTCACCCCAGGTGAGTGTGGAACTACATTACCCATAATGCCGTCGGCCTGGCCCTGCTCACCCTGTCTGTCCTCCTGCAGCCTCGTGGGGCCAGGAAGAGGATGAAGACGATGAATCCGATGAATATGGTGAATATGATGAATATGATGACATGAAGATGGACTCACATGATTAACATCATAAACATTTCTGGACTCATCGAGTTTCTTCTTCTTTAAATCTGTTTCCTGGATCCATCCAGTTTTTTAAACAAACCTCTGGGGAGACAAAACCAGACATGTTTTCATTCATTAGAAAAGATTTCAGCCAAGTTTACCTTTAACTCCACATTTCAACATTCAAAGTCAATAGCTTGTAAACCTCCATCTTTAAAATCTTTGACCATATTTGCTTTCTTTAAGTAGTGAACTCGATTTTTCCAGATGAAATTAAAGTTCAGCTGATTTATGGCTTTAATATATTTGTGAGGTATGGCCATAGAATAATCTGGGTAAATGCACCGAGACAGCGACTCCATTTTGGAGAAACGGGTTCTCCCAACAGGGTCAGATCTCTGGAGACATCGATTTAACTGTATTTTATTCCCTACATTAACAGTTTCACTGAGTTTAACGTCTTTAGTTATTAAAATTCCAAGATATTTAACTGAAGATTTAATGGGAATATTATAAGCTTCCGTCAGATCAGAGTCATGAATCGCCATCAGTTCACACTTCTGCAGATTTAAGGTTAATCCTGATGCTTTGGAGAAAATATTAATTAACTCAAGTGCTTTAGGGGTTTGGTCTTCAAAACATTGTGGTGTCATCAGCTAATTGACTAATTATAATTTGGTCACTTAAAACTTTCAATTTAGGTATATTTGAGTTTTTCATGAAAATACTCGTCACTTCAACAGCCAAGATGAAAAGAAAGGGAGAAATATTGCAGCCCTGTTTTACTGTTAATGGAGAAATGTGGAGACGCACCATGTGGCTCTGTGTGATGTTATCTCACTCTGGACAGGGAGAAGCTATTCCGACAGAAAATCATTTGAGCACCGGCAGCTTTTATTTTGAAAAGACGACATCCATTGTAAAACAGCGAGTAACTTATTGTTTCAAAATTATGATTTGTTTTCAGATTTCTTCTGCTACCGTTATAAAGACTTTATTATTCTACAGAAGTTTGGCCCAAATCCAAACAAGTGTAAAACTTTGAAAAGAAACTGATGCTCCAAAATATCAAAGGTTTTGGGTTTCAGGGTGATAATGCCCCGCAGGAAAACGCCCCGCAGGACAATGCCCCGCAGGACAGCACCAGGGCCTGATATGATACATGCCTACTATCTAAAGAAACTCACTGCTCTCCATGAGCGACTGGCAGGCCAAATGAACCAGCTGGTACAAAGTGGGACTCACCCTGAATGGTTAACTGAAGGGTGAGTCCCACTAATCCTGAACCCCCTCAGCCAAGTTATCAACAAGACTGGCTACGGATACAGACTCAAAAATGGGGCCAATATCAGTCACCTACTCTACATGGATGACATCAAGCTGTATGCCAAGAGTGAGCGAGACATCGACTCACTGATCCACACCACCAGGATCTACAGCACTGACATTGGGATGTCATTCGGACTAGAGAAGTGTGGTCGGCTGATCACAAAGAGGGGGAAGGTCATCCGCACAGAAGGAGTCTCACTCCCACAAGGAACAATAGCAGACATAGAGGACAGTTACAAGTACCTAGGTATACCACAAGCAAATGGCAACCTCGATGAGGCCACAAGGAAAGGAGCCACAGCTAAATACCTCCAACGAATAAGGCAAGTCCTGAGAAGCCAGCTCAATGGCAAGAACAAAATCAGTGCGATAAACAGCTATGCCCTGCCAGTAATCAGATACCCTGCTGGAATAATTAGCTGGCCAAAGGAGGAGATAAAAGCCACAGATATTAAGACCAGAAAGCTACTAACAATGCATGGAGGGTTCCATCCCAAATCCAGCACCCTGAGACTGTACACGAGCCGCAAGGAAGGAGGCAGAGGACTAGTGAGTGTGAGAACCACTGTCCAGGACGAAACAACTAAGATCCATTAATACATCAGGGACAAAGCCTCAACAGACAATGTGCTCAGTGAATGTCTCAGACAACAGGGAACGGAGGTTGAGGTGCCAGAGATACCATTAAGACCTCGGGGCAGTAACCCCCAAACTGGAGCAGTGGCTACAACAGATCCCAGGAACAACATCAGACATCTCAGTCCAGAAATGTGCAGCAGTCCTTGGCACAGCCAAAATACTGCAGGACCCTCAAGCTCCCAGGCCTCTGGTAGAGGACCCGAGCTCAGAGGATAAGAACCACCTGTATATATATATATATATATATATATATATATATATATATATATATATATATATATATATATATATATAATATATATTATATATATATATATAAGTCCCCACCCAGTGAGGGTGTAATTTAATAAATGCACAAACACTGAATTTAACATTAACTGAAGTTTATTACATTATTAGATTTATTTCTAAGCATTTGTACATAAAAGCATTGAAAGCATAAAGTTGATCTCTTTAATGTTTTTAGCCACAGACAGTCAGAACATCATGTTTGTTAGCAACAAGCTGCAGAACCGCAGGTTACACTGGTTAAACTGGTTAAACTGGTTTAACTTGTTAAACTGGTTAAACTGGTTAACTGGTTAAACTGGTTAACAGGCTGAAGCTCCTGAGGTTTTAACAGTTCAGACATTTAAAATCAAATAAAAACATGAGACTGAAGTGAGAATGAAACATTAAATCCATTCATGAGGGAAGAAACTAAAACATTCAGATGAACATTTGTCTCCATCTGGAGTCGATGTTTTTCTCCTGCATTCATTTATTGTCAGAATCATAAATCAGATTCTTCTGAATGAACAACTTTCCAGTGTCTAAAAGAAACTATGTGAGGAACAGAACTGATGTTTTCTTCCTGTTGTCAGTGGATCCAGTTTCACATCAGCAACATTTTCAGTTTCCAGAGTTTCAGCATCAAAGTTTTTCTTCTTCTTCTGTCATGGTGGCGTACAGAACAGTAGTGAAGCAGCGCCGCCTCAGAGCTGCAGAAGAAGAAAACATCAGGTTACTGAATCATTTAGCTGCAGCTAAGCTAGCCTCTTAGCACCACTGCTGCTAGCGTGGCTAATGCTAACTGACTAGCCTGAGGCTGACTGCTGCTAGCATGGCTAATGCTAACTGACTAGCTTGAGGCTAACTGCTGCTAATAGATGTTGAACTATAAAGTGACTCATTGCTAAAGCTTCCTGTCAGTAGAAATTTAATTATTACATAAATATCACAGGATTATGGATCTGATCAGATGTTCCTGTCTGGATGTTCTCTCTGGATAATCTGGATTCTCTCTGGTTAATCTTAATTCTCTCTGGTTAATCTGGATTATCTGGGTAATCTGGATTCTCCAGGTAATCTGGATTCTCTGTGGGTAATCTGGATTATCTCTGAGTAATCTGGGTTCTTCCATCAGGTATCAATGTTACATTAATCTGATTCTCTAAGTTGCTGTCTCTGGATTAACTGGATGTTTTCTGGCTGCTTGTCCAGTGAAGAACAACAGAGATAATGTTGAGTTTATTAGTAGTTTAATTAAAATACGTTTGTTTCTTTATCAGTCGTTTCTCTAATCACTTCATCATTGCAATGGTCTATTAAAGGCCTTTCTATCAAACCAGAATAGCCGTCTAAACTCATTGATTTCTGATCGGTCTGATCAGTTCAGTCACTAAGCTGCTGCTTCTTCTCACCAATGTGAAAACTTGGGCCAATATCTGATTATTTCCAATATCACAGAGATTAAATATATATTTAGCTTCACTTCAGACGCTCTAAAAGCGACCACACTACCTCTACTCAGCAGCAGGGGGCGCTGAAGGTTCTGAATCGGTTAGAACCGCCCTGGAGGAAAACATGGCGGTCGGCACCACATTTCCACCAGTAACCAGTGAACACAGGCGGCCTGCAACCCGCCTGCAACCCGCCTGCAACCCGCCCACCACATCAACAGGAATTATTTTTATCACCAGACGTTTTTCTCTCCTTATTTGGAGTCTTTCAGACCCAAACGGTCCAGTCAAAGTCCCAGAAGCTGTGATAGCAGAAGCAGAAGTGGTCTGTGGTTTGCATCGTCGCTCTGCAGCATGACATGTTCCTGTGAAGTCAGCTTCATTCTAGTTGTCACCTCAAGCTTTGTATGTTTTTTTAACATGAATATAATTGTTTTCAGATGAATCTGTTAAATCTGCACATCATGGCGGTTCAGGGTCAGACAGGAAACTTTAATCTCAACTTCCTGTCTTATTTCTCAGAACCGATCAGAAGTTCTGCTTCCTGCAGGCGTCGCCTGGTTTCTGCTTATTGATTCTGGTCATAATTTTAGAAACTGATAGTTTCTGTTCCTGTGATGAAATGAGACTTCAGGCTGATGGAGACCAGAAGCTGATCGGTTTAAACATGTCGACATAAAGATATTTGATACATTATGTGGTTATTAGCTGCTGAGAGGAGATCAAACCTGATGCTGTTTATGTATACAGATTATGAATGTATGTAAAATAATCCCCATTTGAGTTTTGAATGAATTATTACTTAATAACATGAACAGAATCTAAGATGGAGGCCAGAAAATCATCACTAGGAAACATTTGCTGATCAATCTGAAATTATTACAGAAACACATGAACAGAATCACCGTTTCCTGTTCCTGGTTTGGTTTTCCTCTGTTTACTCTGGAACATCCTGGTATTTCTGTCAGTGATGTCATCATCTCCTCTTCCTCCTTTGTTACCTGAAATAAATACAAAGTTACCAGGAAGTTTTTAAAAACATCTGAAAAGTTTCAACGAACGAAATCAGGAGATTTAACCAAGAAGTTTGTTTTACCTTTGGTTTGCTGTACAAATATACGACCAGTTCAACCAGTAAAAACAGGAAAACCAGAACACAGAGAGATACGGTGGGAAGCAGCACTGGGAGAGAGACGGAGGCAGAACCAGAACCAGGTGGGTCTGTAGAACCAGAGATGCTGCTGGGTTGGTCTGGAAAGAAGAAGCTGCTAAATAACCGTCTGCTGTAAACATCAAGACTCAGAGATGAAGGAGAAGCTGCTGACCTGAGGAAGAGGAGGAGGAAGGTGGAGAGGTTGGAGGTCTCCCTAGAATAAAGAGCTTTGGTTAAATATATGACCAGATTGTGGATTCTCAGACATGATCAATGAGATTCACTGTTAGAGGATGACCTCTGACCTTTGACAGAGACCCTGCTGGATGGAGACTCTCCAGAACCGCTGATGCTACATTTATAGAGGCCTTCATCAGAGCTGGAAACATGGAGGAGGGTCATGCTGCCTGCTGATCCATCACCAATGAAGGAGCCATCTTTATAGAAAGCAGCTGGGAGGTTGTGGGTTGGATTCCTTGCTCTGCAGCTCAGAGTGACGTTATCTCCCTCCATCACAGGGAGGACAGGACTCTGCAGGATCACTGATCCTTTCAACACAGAGACAAACTACAGCATTTCATCCATTTCCACACAGCAACACTAACTCCACAGTCTGATCTTACCAGAGACAGAGAGCTGGATGCTGCAGCTGCTGCTGCTGCAGCTGCTGCTGCTGCTGCTGCTGCTGCTGGAGGATCCAGACTCACACCAGTACAGACCAGTGTCCTCTGGGAGGAGGCTGGTCATGGTACAAGTAGATCTATTTAACTTCCCCCATCCATCTCCACATGGCTTCCTGGTCTCTCTGCTGGTGTTTCTCCTCACTGTCCATCCAGCTGATCTGTTTTCATCCTCACAGATCAGAGTCACTGATTCTCCTTCAAAGAACTGGGATCTGCTGGGACTCACAGTCAGATGAACTGGGAGGACTGGGATGGGAGAGATAAAGAATGCATCTGTTATTCCACCAGTTATTCTTTATTATTTTTCAGAGAATTGATCCAGAAAGATTTTCAGATGTTTCAAATATTTTTATTAGTGAAATATTTCAGACCTTGACTTGATGTCCAGAACAGCAGTGAGATCAGTACTGTAATGAAATAAAAGTTTTGTTATTTTATAATAAACCTTTCAGCATAAAGTATTAACCAACATCAGATTCTCTACATAAATTTGATTAATTTATAAAGTTAACATTTATAGTATTTCTAAAATTTCTTGTTTTTTTTCTTTAATATTTCATTTTCTGTCCTTTTTGCTTCATAAACTTATTTTATGGTTTTTCTGCTGCCATTCTGCGTTTGTAATGACATCATCAAGCTTTTTATTGAACCATATTTATATGCAATATAAATCAAACTGACTTTAATATTCTTAGTTTGAATTTTCAGAACCTTCAGATCAACTTTTTTTCTTTCTCCTCATCTCCATATCAGTTATTAAACATTATTTCTGTACTTACAGATCAGACGCTGAGCAGCTGCTTCCCTCATGGCTGCAGACTTTGACTGGACCGTTTGACTGGAGGAGAGTTAGAGGAAGAAACAGACTCCGCCTCTTCCTTGACACGTTATGGTTTCAGCAGAAGCAACATTGAGGTAGTTTCTACTGAACACTCAGTGATATTAAGCTCCAAAGGTTAAATAATAGAAAATATTATGAATCTTAGTGAATTATTTCTAGATGTTGTTTTTTAGCACAGAATAAATGAACACAATGCATCAGGATAATAAATGTTTTCATGAAACTTTAAACCTGCCTGTGTTTGCAGGGTTCATGTCCAGCAGCCATTAGTGAGAGACGGATCCATCACTGAGAAAACATTCTGGACTCTCAGCTCGTCGCATTAAAGCTGCACTTTGTAACAGATTATAATCTGTGAAACAATTGATCTCCTAGAAACAACCAATCAGAGCCTAGAGGCGGGTCTTAGTGCTGCCAATCACCCTCTATGTGTTGCTGCTCCTACCCTTCTCTCCCTCTCTCTGTCCTGACAGGGCAGCCAACATACCCTGTCAGGAATGCTAAGCTAGTTAGCAGAGCAACCGGTTTTCCTGTAACTGTCAGTGTTTCTCTGTCATCAGTGTGATGTTATCTCACTCTAGAAAGGGAGAAGCTATTGCGACAGAAAATCATTTGAGCACCGGCAGCTTTTATTGTGAAAAGACGACAGATCCATTGCAAAACAGCGAGTTGCTTATTGTTTCAAAATTATGATTTGTTTTCAGATTTCATGTGTTGTGTAAAGATTAAAAGAGGAAGAATATCTTGATTTTGCTCGTTAATTCTCCTGTGTTCCCCAGATTATTGAGCCTCAGCGTGCGCAGGGAGAAAGAACAATCATACGACATCAAACTTCAGATATCTAGAGCTTTATTCAGAGAATTCAATGCATACAGAATGTTACAATAAGCATCTCACCCAGATTATCAAAAGTCCACAAAGTGACAAAACAGAAATATCTGCACGAGTTGAAAGGAAGAACAGAAAGAAAGAACAGAAAATGCATTTTCTGGGAATCGCGGACTCGGGCAGAAAGCAATTCGACTTCTGTGTTGCAAAACAAAACTTTTATAAGACTGTATTTCCCAAAATTTAAACATATGCATTAGAAGGTGTGTTTTTCCCTTTGTGGGGGCTGTCTTAATGTTAATTTTATTATCTCTGGGGCCTGCTAAAACACCCACATCTTTTCGTACCAGCCTCTCGCCCAGGCCATGATTTATGGCGTGCAGATGGACCGTTCTCTGCCTCAAAAGAAAGTAGTTTCCTAATTCTATTGTATTTAAGTAATATAAAATGCATGCAAATAGTATGGTTAAAAACTAACTCATTCAAAACATGTTGTTTAATGCTTAAGGAAATATCTTAATATGTTTGATTATACTTTGGAGAAGACTTTGAAAGTTTTAATGTCTCACTGAACTATTGACCCAAAGAATTTATTGTCCTGATAGCAGACAGACTCCCTGTCTGAAAACCCTCCTCAGAAATTTTATAAGTTCTGAGAGTCGCCAGTTGTTTTAGTTTGGATTTTTATCTAAGTTTATGTTAACGTAAAGTCTACTCTAAATGTTCCTGGTATATTTAATATGCATAAAGATTAGCCTGTGTACGATTGTGCTAATGTTAAATTATTTTAACAGTTGCAAATGAAAATGTGAATTATTATCTTTCCTGTCGAATATACTGAGTTCAACAGAGACTTTATTAAACGGTGATGAATCTGTGTTAGCAGCTATTTAGCTGCTCTTTTGCTAAAATAAAACATTGCTAATTAAAATGCTTCATGCATTTGCTGAAAATAATGTTCATGGTCAAACAGGTTCTGTTGAACACATGGATGAGAAAAACCTGCTTTGGCTTCTATGTTCTGCTATCTGAATGCAGGTATGTGATGTTTCATTATTTATGGTGTGGGATTATTTTGTTTGATTATTTTTTTCATCTTAAACAGTGAATGTTTTAACAAATATGTAAAACTAAAAGTTACAGACTCCAGATTTAACTCAGCCGGTGTGTTTCTCTGAGAGGAAACTGGAAAACCCAGAGAGTTGTGATCTGTAAAATTAGTTTCTGGGATTTTATTTGCCGTTTCCTGTTGCTCCAGTTCTCCCAGTAGATCTCTGGATTCCTCCTCTGTTTATCGTCTCCTCGTGTTTATGTGCCAGCTGCTGGGGACCAGATGACCTTTCACCCTGCTGGGTCCTCAACTCTTTTCATCTACTCTCTACAGACACCAGGCCGCCACCTAGTGGCTAAGAACACGCGATCAGAGGAAGAAATGCTGTTTCATGTTTTAAAAGTTTTAAAGTAACATTTACAGGTGGAACAAAGAGAAAAGGTTTAATAACAGCGGAAATACTGCATCAAATTAACGATCACTCAGATGACCCAGCAGCACGTAAAGGCAGCATGACTTAAAGGAGCGAGGAATGTCATAACAGCAAAGAGTGTTCACTGCTCTATTTTATCAAATAAAGAAAATACAACATATGATTATGTTTGATGGAAGCATTTATGTCTTCCTAAAACATAAATGCTTAAAAACCAGACAGTTTCCTAACAAAGCTCATAATGTACATTCAGTGTTGAGTCGCTAACTTTCTCCTTGTTGACAAGGTTACCGGACAAAATATGTCAAAGATAGTTTGGTCCTAAGAACGCTCACTCGGTCATATTTCTACAAATACAATAAGTTAAAGGTTAATAATAATGTCACACCCTTATTACATTTCAAACCCAAAATATTTTACCAATTCTTAGAATTAATTTTGTCATACAATTAACTAATTATGAACTTCATTACCAACTTATAGAGGTCGTGCATTTCCACTAAAATTATATTACAATATTTGACCAAATTGGTATAACATTGGGACTAATTTCCAGTCCTAGAGGTTCATGCCTCAGATCAATGACCCACAAAACCTATAAATAATGTAATTATAATGTTACATATTAAGTCTATAATATGTGATCTAACACAATGTTCTGGAAAGTCTTATAATTACATAATTAAACGTAGAAGCTCGTGATGTATTTTTAGAAACATAACCGAGTGAGCGTTCTTAGCACCAAACGATCTTTGACGTAGATTTCTCCAGTAACCTTGTCAACAGTGATTCAGTCAGGGGAAAGTAAGCGGGTCATGAACGTCGAGTCTGAATTATACATTTCATAGCTCGGAAAACGTTTGTCTTTGTAAGTATTTGTGTTTTAGGAAGACTGAGAAATATATGTGGCTGTTTTTTATTTGGTTCCTATTATATAGAGCAGTGTATGTAATCTTTCAGTGTACCCTTAATATTTGCGTATCGGCTGTTAATGTATATTTCCTTCTGTTGTATTTCAGTTATAAAAACGTTATGAGTTTAGAATTAAGATGAAGGTTCTGGTCAGTAATGTATTTTTCCTTCTGTTGTATTTCTGTTATAAAACAAACGGTAAAGCGCTGCTGAAGTGTTTCTGCTAAACTGCAAATAAAACCTAAAAATAGAAGAAGCTAGTTCTGCTAAGCTAGCTCTGCTAAGCTAGCTCCACCTGTTTTCCCGCCTGTGCAGGCCTCTGTCGTTTATTTGATTAATCCTAATTTCTCCGCAATTCTAACAGATTCTTGTGTTTTCAGTTAAACTTCAGGTTTTTTGGTGTTTCTTGGAAATATTTTCCACTCAGAAACGTCGCATGAATCTAAATTTGGGACGGAGAGACCGACGCACCCAGGAAATGGCTTCTTCCTCTCTGCCTGCCTCTCTGTTCCTGCTGTCTCTGGTTTTCTGGCAGTTTGTCGCTGCTGCAGGTGAGAGTCAGCTGTTACCATAGAAACATTTGGAGCGCTCTTGCCTAACGTAGCTAACGTGACGTAGAGCCGCCATCTTGAACAGGTGTCATGCTGAGTATCACGTGCCCTGTCACTGGAGCGCGTCGCTCTAAACTCGCATATTGATGAGGAAACGGACTGAAATGTGACCGAAGAGGAAACTTTTAAAGATATTTGTAACATTATCACGTTTCTTAACCTTGTAAGCCCTAAAAAGGTGGGTTAATTTTACAGATTAATTGACATAAATACGGTTTTTCAGTGTCTAATGAAAATGTTTTCCGCAGCTTGTTTGAAATCCACAGATTTTTCTTTTAACACCATAATAGCTTCAAGCTAAAAAAACAGAGGCTGGTTATGTAAAACATTTTATATCATCCTTAAACTTCTAGTCTATTAATGTAGGGAGATGCAATTTAATTTCTGAGCTTGATAATATTTGCATCTCCTGTCTATTGTCCTGTTGATATGAAACTTATTGCAGTAGCTTAGAGAACAAGAGTCATTATGAAAGGTGAAATCCCTCTTAACTCTTTATTTATTCAAGTTAACGAGGATGCATTTTTTCTTGCATAGCAAATTATTAGCCTGGCGATATATGTAATAGCATATATTGTAGCTGACTGAAATAATCTGTTCCTCAGTTAAACTTCAGGTTTTTGGTGTTTCTTGGAGATATTTTCCACTCAGAAATTTATTGCCATGTTACTCCTATAATACGGGAATAAATTTACTTACCAGAAAGTCTATAACTGCCTATTTCTCTCTTCATCAATAACAAATCCTGTTGATTTGGTGACATATAATCAGTCAGATACTCTGACTCTCAGTTAGCATTCATAGTTTGGGTTGAACCCTGGCATTACACCAAGAATTAAAGCTGATATTAGCTGTTATTTTGCAGGTGGACATAAATACAGTTCAGTAAAATATAAACTATAATATGTTCATCTTAATTATGTAACTTTATCCCCGAGATCTCACATCAACAGATCAGAATAAAAGTATCCGGCAGAGCTGAGGCTTGTTCTGCTTTTTTTTTTTTTTTTTGCCAAGGAGGACGACCGCTCCAAGATGGCCGCCGTATTTCCTGCATCCTACCTCCGTCTTTGAACAGAAAAGTAATTGTTAGGGAAGAACAAATATGAATGTTTGGGCCGATGTTGATATCCGATATTAATACTGATGTTATGGCAGCAATTACCAATAATTTGCTTGATCAAACTTTTTATTAATTACTTGATTAATAAGATAATTGTTTGCAACATCCATAAAAACATGAAAACAGCCACACCAGTTTCAGAATCATTAGTTTGATGCTTTGAGGTGTGACCTCTGACCTCTGTGTTATTCCCCTCCTGCAGATCCGGTCACAGTCAAAGCTAAAGTTGGAGCAGATGTCACTCTGCCATGTAAAACTGCTGGGGACAAAGCTATTGTACAGGCAGAGTGGAGCAGACCGGACCAGACCTCGGCGCCGGTTCTTCTCTACAAGAACAACAAGGTGGACGACAACCAGCTGGCTGCCTATAAGGGCCGCACATCTCTGCTGGACGTACAGAAAAGAGACCTGTCTTTGGTGCTGAAGAAAGTGGTGAGCAGAGACGCCGGAAAGTATGAGTGCCGAGTTGAGCTGGGAGAAGGCACAGCAGCAGCAGGAGGAGGTACAAGAGGAGGTGCAGGAGGAGGAGGTACAGCAACAGGAGGTGCAGGAGGAGGAGGTACAGCAACAGGAGGTGCAGCAACAGGAGGTGCAGCAACAGGAGGTGCAGCAACAGGAGGTGCAGCAGCAGGAGGTGCAGAAGCAGGAGGTGCAGCAGCAGGAGGTGCAGCAGCAGGAGGTGCAGAAGCAGGAGGTGCAGAAGCATTCGATGCGTCAGGCGGCAGAGGACGCAGCCGCGCAAGAGGAAGGGTTCTGAAAAGTGCCCCAATCAGCATTGTTATCCTGACAGTGGAAGGTCAGTCTGTTTCTGGATCAGAACCTCCCTCTCTATTCCTGCTGAACTCCGGGGTCAAGGGTCACAGTGGCCCACCAGCAGTAGGTGACTGGTTTATGCATCAGCACCCCGGTCTGGTGTGGAGGGTGTCTCGCCACAAGACCAAACTAGTATGGGTCAGGAGGATCGGTCTGCCTTTACCAGAACCAGTGCTTGATACTGGTATCGTTTCACACTAATTAAATAAATCTAGTTTTTCACTTCAGTTAAATCCTAATGAAGCAATCAGCCAGAAATCAGGAGCGTAGTCAGCATCATGCTGTGGGGACAACAGCGCGACGCCAGCAGGTGGCGCCATCAGCGCCCAGTTCAACGTTCATCCGTCTGTCTCCATTACTGGAGACTGACACAAAACTCAGCCTGGCGGGCAATAAAAGCTGGCAGCCCACCAGACTGATGATACTGATGATTCCTTTAAACCTGAAATATTCTCTCCAAGTTTCTCATTACAGTCAAATTCTGTAAATATTCAAAACAGGAGTGAAAAGGCAGGAAGGTTACTGCTGTATATGATGGGAGCTGATTTTGTGTTTGGAAGTCATTTCTGTGTGACAGAACTGGACAGGAAGCTGAGGATGGAGCAGGAAGTCTCTGTTTCAGAGCTGAGTCAGCCCTGTGCTTTGATCACAACAAATCAACGTTCCCAGTGTGTGGATGTAAACCTGTCCTTCATTACCACTCGTCTGGATTATTGTAATTCTTTATATAGTGGCATGGTTAAATCACAGATTCATGGACTTCAAATGATCCAGAATGCAGCGGCACGGCTTCTTACAGGAACCAGGAAGCATGACCATATAAGGCCTACGCTGGTCAATTTACACTGGCTGCCTGTTATGTATAGAATAGATTTTAAGATTCTTTTATTAACTTATAAAGTTTTAAATGGGTTAGCTCCCCCTTATCTTCAGGACCTTTTAAAATGTCAGTCTGTGTCCAGAACCCTCAGATCAAACAATCAGCTTTTACTTCCAGGCCCTCGGACCCGACTAAGGAAAGGAGATCGGGCTTTTTCTGTTGTTGCTCCTAATTTATGGAACAATTTGCCTTTTCAGATTAGATCTGCTAGCAGCCTGGATCATTTTAAATCGCTTCTCAAAACTCATTTTTATTCGTTGGCTTTTAACTGAAGCAATTTTTTGATATTCTGTTTTTATCTATTTGTGTTACTGTCGTTCCTGTGCAGCACTTTGGTGCAGTTTTATACCTGTTTTAAAGTACTATATAAATAAATTTGACATTGACTGTCTCCTGGCTCCTCTGTGCAGGTGGGTCCAGCCACGGAGGAGACGGCCTTAGACCCAAATCTGTCCTGCCAGTGGGCCTTCTGGCTCTGCTGGCTCTGATTGCTGGACTGCAGTGAGCCACTGCAGCAGCACAGGTTCATCCTGCAGGGGGCGCTGACGCTCTGAAATATTAAATGTTAACTTTAATCTCACAGCAGATTCCTCTACGTCTCTAGATTCTCTTTGAGCTTTCATTGCTTCAGCACACCTGAGTACATATATATATATAACTGAGTTATATAATTAGTTTTGATATAAACTAATTATATAACTGAGCTAATATAATTAGTTTAAATGAAAACAAATAACAGGAGTTAATAAATTCCATTAGAGAAATAACAGATTTTATTTGGACATGAGGTAAATGTCGTGGTTTTGTAGCTGAATACATCTGACTGGTCAGAAAATAAGTTTGCCGCCATCTTGTATGTGGCAGTAGAGCGTTCAGAGCTCCCTTAGTCATGCTAGCTGCAGCTAACAGGAAGGGAACGAACTACTTTCAGACTCAGACCACATATGGAAATGGGACCATTGCACTCCGGAAGTGTAGGGGGCGCTATTTCCTATATTATCCATGTCTCCCGTTTATATTTTCTTTTGATATCTGATATATTTTCACTTTTAGTAAGGATTTCCACTCTCGGCTTGTATTTGAACTTCTCTCTTTTATTTACTTAAACATCTTACAGTTTTTGACTAATGGGCTCTTTGCACCTGCCGCGCTGACGTCACAGCTGCATGCCCAAATGCGGCTCTTTTTTCCGCTTTCACTTACTATGACTGCTATAAAAGACAAAGTCATACTTAAGGCACAAATACAACAATACTATGTACTTTGTTTAAGTTTTCATGGATTTCCAAGCGATCCTCAATTAATTATACGGTGGCTTGGAAATATTCGTTGCTACCAGTTGAAGGTACCAGTTGAAGGTAACGCCGCACAACAAAGTTTGCAGCCTTCACTTCACTCCGGATCAGTTTCTTCAGCCTAAAGACGAAGGTAAAGGAGCCGTCCTGTGTTATTTCCATTGAATCGCTTCTGTATTCAGCCTGAAAGAGCGAGTGTTTGGGAACGAGAGAGAGCAGAGCTGGACAGCATACACACCGCTATGAACACTGTCCTAATGAAAAAAAGTCACATTCTTGTCTTTACGGTGCCATCTATGTTATTCTGAGAGACTTTTTGTTGGTAGAGTCTAATATATAGGAAAAAATAAGATCCAACATTTAGTTTTATCAATGTGGTGATTTTACTTTTGACTAAAACAATAAATCAAATTTATAGAATCACATTATCAACAATTAATAGAGTAAGACACTCAGCACTCTACAAGTAAATGTTATCATTTAGTTTGGTTAAGAATAATTATTGCAGTGTCAATAAATGATTTTTAATAGTTACCAGAGGAAAACAGTAACGGCTTCATGAGCTCAGAGGGTCAAACTGATGAAGAAAGAGGATGGATGCTCTCTGCTAAAATGTTCCTGCATCTTCCATCATCTTTCAGCAAACAGCTGAGACAGAGTTGTTTTTGATTTCACCACCTTTTACCTGCTGTTATATTATTGATAGTTTTCTTAAAAGATTATCTGTTAATCTGCAGCTCATGTGACCAAACCAGCTGAGGAGATGAAAAGTTAAAACTTGAGTTAAAATGTTGTTTTAGCTTGAGGTCAGGTTAGAATGTTAAGTTTAAACATTTTCACTCAACAACCTCTAGTTGGGTGACCCTAAGATTAAAAGATGGAGTCTCTGAGAACAGCTCTTAAAGATACAGTCAGTGTTTTCAGCAAAGTTTTGCTGACTGTCCAGGAACGACACCAGGAATTTAAAATTTGCCACAGTTTCAAGCCAGCAAGTGAAACTGGAATCACTTTCAGGTTTTGATTATCTCATTTAATTAGCTCTACTTCCTTAAGAAAATATAAAAAAAAGATGTTTTATAAGATAATTTATTTTTTTCGGTGCCAATAATGCTGAAATTAATAGTAAATAATAAAGACTAGAGGCAGTATCGGCCGAAAAGATGCGACAAAGGAGCAGATTTATAAGTTCACAGAAAGCTACAGAATCTGTTAAAAACTATGAGCTGAAGTAAATAAAATAGAGAAGTTCAAATATATGCTGAGAGAGAAAATCTTTCCTAAGGTGAAGATATATCACAGATTTCAAAGGAAAATGAAAACAGGAAGCTGCGGATAATATAGGAAACAGCGCCCCCTTCACTTCTGGGGTGCAATGGTCCCATTTCCAAATAAGGTCTGAGACTGACAGTAGTCCCTCCCCCTTCCTGTTCGCTGCAGCAGGTCCTTCTCTAGTCATGTACTGTGGACATGTTTCAACCACTTTACTACACAAACTGGATTCACCTTTCACAGGTGAGAATGAAAGAGCAGAATTACCTGACTTTGCAAATATGAAATATGTCCTTTGTAGCTAAATTGGCCTGAAGTAGCCGCTGATTGTCAGCGCAGCAAACGTTTTCATCCTGTTTCCTAGTGAGAGCTGATGAGAAACCGCAGTTAGAGAGGAAGTGCATTGAAGAGCCGGGGATCTTGTGAGGATGTGAGGATCAGAGCTGGAGCTGCTGGTCTTCAGTCTGTTTCACAGCTCAGCTTCACAACCCGGTGTTCAGCTATGATGTAAAGATGCTCCACTGTGGGGTCAGAGACCCAACATGCTGAAAATGTCTTTCTGAATGTGAAGAAAAAATACATGTATTTTCTGTTACACTTTGGGATAATTTCTCTTTTATCCCTGGCTTTAGCCTGTGTACCAGGATGTCTGAGTCACTGGAGTTCTCCCAGTATGACCAGCAGAATGAAGCCCTGCCTGTGGCCCTGTTCCCAGTACAGTAAATAAATGTGTTTTATTCTTTCATTTTTGCATATTTTAATATCTCAATCTGAAATTTTAATGTATTAATGCAGCTTATGTAATGAAATAAAATAATTTACTTTGTTAGAATTATTTTCACTTTGCTGTCAATAAGAAAGTTGACATACTGTAACATAGTGGAGCCCAAAGTCGGTCCTGGAGGTCAGATGTCATGCTGAGTGTCACATCCCCTGTGACTGGAGCGCATCGCTCTAAACTCGCACATTGATGAGGAAACGCACTGAAATGTGACAGAAGAGGAAACTTGAACAGATATTTGTAACATTATCATGTTTCTTAGCCATCAAAGCCCTATATTTGTGGGTTTTAGGGTTTAGGGCTGTTGGTGTTTCATATAACTTTAGACCAAGACGTGTTGCAAGGGTCACTACTGACTGGTCAGGCAAGATAAGATAAAAGTCTTTATTGTCATTGTAACAGGAACAACAAAATTTTAAAAAGTGCCATTAGTCAGTGCATACGCTTAACAAACTATCACAATTTACACACAATGTAAAAAAATAAATAAATAGCTGATACACATCATTCATAATGATTGATGGTTTTGATTGCATTAACTTTTGTTATTGCTTTCAGGTAAAAAGCAATAGGTGGACCAACCCTTTTCTCACTTCCAGGTTTGACCTGAAGTGACCTTATTTCCATTTTATGTTTCTCTGTGTTTATTGGTGTTATGTGACTGTTGCTTAAGTTTTATACGGGTCATGTCTAAATGTTTCTCACATATTATGCTAATAGATCTGACATTCTCAAAATAATACAAAATGGGAATTTCATTTGTCACATCATCTGCACTTTACCATAATTGGACCTGCTGCTTCTTCTTTGGTGTGGTTGAGTGCCTTTAGTTAATTTTAGTTGTATATATTATTATTACTGTGTGTTTGTTTATTTAATATTGTATATTTTGACTTTTTGCACGGGAGTTGCAATAGAAATTTTGTTGAATCCTGTTCAATGACAATAAATGCTATTCTATTCTAATTGTCCTGAATGCCCTCAGTTTCTTTTTGTTTTACAGTATTTCCCAACATTCCCTTTGTTGGAAACTGTCATAAATGCCAGTTTTTCACTATTGTGCTGCATATTTCCTGTTTACTTTGAGCAGCTCATCATGTATGGAGGCTTGTTAAGTTGTGCCTTTGCTGTGTTCGGCTGAGGGCAGCCTTTGTTGACCGGTGGGGAATATGTAACAGTCATAACTGGGTAGTGACTCTTTAAGATACTCTAGTATTGCTAATGATGTCATTGATGCGCCGCTGCTTCTCAGTAGAGAGCGCGGGAGAAACAGATGGTTTCATGGACTGAGACGGACATGTTGGCTCCCTAATGTTTCGTAACGCTATGGGTTGTTGGACTCATTTTCACGATTGATGATATAGCAGCCGTTCAGGTTGGTGAAGAGCGTTTATTAAAGGACAAATCTGTGGAATTCCCAGTACCAGTGAGGCTGAGTTTCTGCCGCCTCCTCCTCCCTGAAACAACCCAAACGTTACAGTCTGTAAATCTGTTTCTAACTTCTGAAGTGACAGTTTCAGCTTCAGCTGGAAATAGACAAATCTCCCATCAAGAACCTTTTGTACCCAATTATTAATCCATTAATCAAATAATCACCAGATCAGCCCTGAGCTGTACTGATGTTAAATCAAGCAGAAATGTCTGAGCTTTTCATGTTGTTGATGCTAAAAGTAAATGTTTTAGCTGCAGATGCTGTTTGATCAAACGTTCACTGAATGAATGATGTTATTCTATTTTAGACAATAAAGATTCGTTTGCTTATTTTTTCTTTGTTTGAATTTATGTATTTTTCATGATGCATAAAATATACAAATTTCTATATCCAATCAGTGTCAAAGTCAAATTTCTTTCTATTGGAATAGAATAAGATAATGAAAAGTGAAAGATAAAAGAAGAATACAAATAAAAATGAATAACAAGAGTAATAATAGTAAGTAAATAAAACAATTGTCAGAAAAATCTATTACTGTAATAATTAGCTATAGCTCATTAGTATTATTTCTGAAAAGATAAGATTATTTTAAGCAACGCTGCAGTATCCAACATGCACCAGTTGGAGTTGGTGGCGGTAGTGTGCACCTAACGTTCTGTGTTAACCGTCTTCAAAACATCAACACAAGAAGAAGCGCTAAGCTAGCTCCACCGCCACGTTTTCCCGCCTCTGCAGGGCGGTGTCGCATCGCGCCGTGAGTTAAAACTTTTTCTCGGCTAATTTTATCTATCCTAGTCTATTATAACTGACTGTAGTGTTTTCAGTTAAGCTTAAGTTTTTTATGTTTCTTTCAAATGTTTTCCTCTCAGAAACGTCGCATGAATGTAAATTTCAGACGGAGAGACCAACCAGAAAATGGCTTCCTCTCTACCTGCGTCTCTGTTCCTGCTGTCTGTGGTTTTCTGGCAGTTTGTCTTCTGGGAGTTTGTCACTGCTGCAGGTCAGAGTCAGTTACACACAGATTCTTCTCCAGCAAACTAGTCGGTTGGAATCACTAACGTTTATATCCGCCATGTTGAGAGTGGCTTTTTTAAAAAACATCCCCACTACAAAGGTGTTGGAGACCGTTTTTATTCTCTGGTTTTAGGTTATTCTTTCTCAGTGTGTGTTTGTCATATTGCTATCATGAAAGTGGCCACGAGAAAATCAAGAACAAACATCAACAAGGCATTTTGGCTCATTTACATAATGTGAAGAATTATCTGTGTAGATAATCTAGACTAAAAACATTCAATGACTAAATTAGGACTAAGACTAAAACACCTCAAAAATACTCTTCAGGTAATTGCAGCAGAAAAGCTCACCATCAATAACAGAAATAAAGTGAGTTATAGTATACACATCCAGGAACTGAAAGAAAAACGGTTTCTTGCTGTTATTTAAAGCTATTATAACAGATCCTTCTAAATAGGAAAATACTCAGCACATTTCCTATTAGAAAATAGGAAATGTTAGTCATAAGACAAACAAGTTTAGTCCCAGTTTCGTATGAATACATACGAGTGCAGAGATCGGGTCCTTTCTTTGACTCACATTGAAAGCTGGAAGAATAGAGACCAACTGTGACCTTTGACCTCTCTGTGTTTCCATCAGAACAGACCAACATCAAAGCTACAACTGGAGAGGACGTCACTCTGCCCTGCAGTGACCCTGACAATAACCCCATCCTGGTCGTACAGTGGAGCAGACCCAGGCTGGGGCCAAAATTTGTGCTCCTGTTCAAAAACGGGATGATAGATGAAGATCAGCAGCATCCATCTTTTAAGGGCCGGGTGGAACTGTTGGACTCCAACATGAAGGACGGAGACGTGTCTATGATTCTGAAGAAAGTTCAGGCCAGCGATGCGGGACAATTTGAGTGTCGAGTCATTCAGATGGCCCACGGGGAGGAACTCAGGAGGAAGGTCTATCTGGAAGTAATAGGTGAGTCAACCTGCACGTAGCAGGTTGCTAACATTAGCATCACTACATGTTGTTATGCTATAGTTAGCACTGCTATCTGTTGCTACGCTAAGTTCAGCACCGCTATCCATCTAATGCTAACATTAGCACCGTTAGCCGTTGTGCCCCTGTGGTTTTTTGAGGTGCCTGCAGAAGCTCTTTTCAGCTGGACGCAGCGTTCTGTCCAGTCTGATGTCAGGACAGTGGCTGCTCTTGCTGCTCTGTTACTGTTCACACAGCAGAGTCAGACTCAGGTGAGGCTCCGCCCACCATCCCACCTCATCAGAAGTCTGTGTTTGATGCATCGTGATTCACAGATGACAGTACTGCTGAAACATTTTTATGGTGTTCTTCATTCATGTCTGTGTTGGAAAAATATTTCTGTTTTAGGAGGATGTTTGATATTGTTGCTCCTTAACAAGATGATTAAAACTTTCCTTCCTCCACAGTTTGGATTGGCATCAAATCTTTGCTAGTCTAATTCTGACAGTTTGGTAAAATGTTTCCATTGCTTGTTTGATTCAGGGTTAGCTCATGAGCGGCTCAGTGACACCATGGTGAGCTAGCTTACTTTGGTTTTATTGTGTATTATTAGCTGCTGATGGGTTCTAAAGCTCGACATGGTGAAAAAAGTATTTCTCCATGTAATATCACTGTGATCTGTGAAGCTTCAGACTGGATTTCACCGAATGTACTTCATAAGATGAGCTCAGCCGTAGCTCAGCTTTTCCAGGTGTTTCTAATTGCTGCTGCCGCTAGTCTGCAGGAGCTGAGTGGGGAAATGTGACTGGAGGCTGCAGCTCTGAGAGTAAGAGTTTAGGCAGTGGTTGGAGATTAAAGTAGTTTCTCAGACATTCATGCCAGGTATGTTTTTGATGAGAGAATAACATTACACAACACGGCTCAGGACACAAAGTTCTGCTGCTTCCCTATTGGCTGATGAGGCGCCACTGGATGCCACGTTGTACCGTTACGCTTCTGTTCGCCGCCATTTTTACTTGTTCAAAGTTTAAACGTTGAGTTGTGGGTTTGGCCAGCAGCAGCTGAATGGGATTTAAAGAGTTTCTAAAACAGCTCAAAATAAAAGTTCTATAATCTGCCAGTGACTTTTATTTTATAAAACAATGTGATGAAAATGATCTATACTAACATGTTCAGTAAACCAGATGGTAGTTTGATGATGTTACTTTGACTGGTCCATGTTTAGTTTCTCCTGGTTCTTACTTTGACTGGTCCATGTTTGTAGTTTCTCCTGGTTCTTACTTTGACTGGTCCATGTTTGTAGTTTCTCCTGGCTGTTACTTTGACTGGTCCATGTTTGTAGTTTCTCCTGGTTCTTACTTTGACTGGTCCATGTTTGTAGTTTCTCCTGGTTCTTACTTTGACTGGTCCATGTTTGTAGTTTTCTCCTGGCTGTTACTTTGACTGGTCCATGTTTGTAGTTTCTCCTGACTGTTACTTTGACTGGTCCATGTTTGTAGTTTCTCCTGACTGTTACTTTGACTGGTCCATGTTTGTAGTTTCTCCTGGTTCTTACTTTGACTGGTCCATGTTTGTAGTTTCTCCTGGTTCTTACTTTGACTGGTCCATGTTTGTAATTTCTCCTGGTTCTTACTTTGACTGGTCCATGTTTGTAGTTTCTCCTGGCTGTTACTTTGACTGGTCCATGTTTGTAGTTTCTCCTGGTTCTTACTTTGACTGGTCCATGTTTGTAGTTTCTCCTGGTCCTTACTTTGACTGGTCCATGTTTGTAGTTTCTCCTGGTTCTTACTTTGACTGGTCCATGTTTGTAGTTTCTCCTGGTCCTTACTTTGACTGGTCCATGTTTGTAGTTTCTCCTGGTTCTTACTTTGACTGGTCCATGTTTGTAGTTTCTCCTGACTGTTACTTTGACTGGTCCATGTTTGTAGTTTCTCCTGGCTGTGTTACTTTGACTGGTCCATGTTTGTAGTTTCTCCTGGTTCTTACTTTGACTGGTCCATGTTTGTAGTTTCTCCTGGTTCTTACTTTGACTGGTCCATGTTTGTAGTTTCTCCTGGTTCTTACTTTGACTGGTCCATGTTTGTAGTTTCTCCTGGTTCTTACTTTGACTGGTCCATGTTTGTAGTTTCTCCTGGTTCTTACTTTGACTGGTCCATGTTTGAAGTTTCTCCTGACTGTTACTTTGACTGGTCCATGTTTGTAGTTTCTCCTGGCTGTTACTTTGACTGGTCCATGTTTGTAGTTTCTCCTGGCTGTTACTTTGACTGGTCCATGTTTGTAGTTTCTCCTGGCTGTTACTTTGACTGGTCCATGTTTGTAGTTTCTCCTGGCTGTTACTTTGACTGTCCATGTTTGTAGTTTCTCCTGGTTCTTACTTTGACTGGTCCATGTTTGTAGTTTCTCCTGGTTCTTACTTTGACTGGTCCATGTTTGTAGTTTCTCCTGGTTCTTACTTTGACTGGTCCATGTTTGAAGTTTCTCCTGACTGTTACTTTGACTGGTCCATGTTTGTAGTTTCTCCTGGCTGTGTTACTTTGACTGGTCCATGTTTGTAGTTTCTCCTGGTTCTTACTTTGACTGGTCCATGTTTGTAGTTTCTCCTGGTTCTTACTTTGACTGGTCCATGTTTGTAGTTTCTCCTGACTGTTACTTTGACTGGTCCATGTTTGTAGTTTCTCCTGGCTGTGTTACTTTGACTGGTCCATGTTTGTAGTTTCTCCTGACTGTTACTTTGACTGGTCCATGTTTGAAGTTTCTCCTGACTGTTACTTTGACTGGTCCATGTTTATAGTTTCTCCTGACTGTGTTACTTTGACTGGTCCATGTTTGTAGTTTCTCCTGACTGTTACTTTGACTGGTCCATGTTTGTAGTTTCTCCTGGCTGTTACTTTGACTGGTCCATGTTTGTAGTTTCTCTGACTGTTACTTTGACTGGTCCATGTTTGAAGTTTCTCCTGACTGTTACTTTGACTGGTCCATGTTTATAGTTTCTTCTGACCGTGTTACTTTGACTGGTCCATGTTTGTAGTTTCTCCTGACTGTTACTTTGACTGGTCCATGTTTGTAGTTTCTCCTGGTTCTTACTTTGACTGGTCCATGTTTGAAGTTTCTCCTGACTGTTACTTTGACTGGTCCATGTTGTTGTTTCTCCTGACTGTGTTACTTTGACTGGTCCGCCTGTGTTCCACAGAGCCGTTTCCTGCCTGGGTCATCGTTCTGGCGGTTCTGCTCAGTGTGTTTCTGACTGCTGCTGTTGTCCTGGTGTATAGGTTTAAACACCACATCACTCCAGGTGAGTCTGGAACTACATTACCCATAATGCCACTGGCCTGGCCCTGCTCACCCTGTCTGTCCTGCAGCCCCGAGGGTCCAGGAGGAGGATGAAGACGATGAAGGTGATGAAGATGAAGATGATGAAGGTGATGGAGATGATGGAGGTGATGGTGATGATGACGTGAAGATGAACTCGGAGGATTAACATCATAAACATTTCTGGACTCATTAAACTATCTTCAATATTTCAGTGGCTTCAAAGCAAAGAAACTTTATGTTTTGAAACTAAAATCAAATTTATTCTGCTGGTTTTATTTAAATCTCATGTTTGGTGGAAAGTTTAACTTTTTAATTAGTTTAAAATATCCAATCTAAACACTGATACACAGCTTTTTGACTCAATTTATGTAAATAATCTATTTAATCATTTCGTTAAACTCTAGCAACAGATGAACTGATTCATTCACATTTATTAACAAACTTTTGTTTTAATTCAGAAAAAAAAAACTACATCAGCCATTAATCAATTGATCACATGATAAACGAGAATGAGATCAATAATATTTTTAAGGGCAATTTAGTTCAAAAACTTTATTCAGCCTTTCTGAGTTACCAAAGACAAGAGAATATTAATAAAATAAAGACATAATTTTATCAGCAGAACAGATTATAATTATGAGACAAAAGTTGTTTTAAAATAAAATTACTATTTTATTCTGATAGAAGATCTTAAAGTGAGCAGAAATAAACTGGACTTCAGAGGCCAAAGGTCAAATTTTATAATAAAGGTTGAAATAAAGATTTGATGATGAATAGAAATTCTGATTTAAATTTGTTTTTATGAGTCTCAAAGAAATTTACTGTCAAAATTATAAAAAAAACATTGAATTGTTTCAAGAATGTTAATTTAAATACCTGTTTACATTGTCAGCATTAGATTTACACACAGTCCTAATTTTATTAGAGACTCAAATCATGTTAAGGTTTAATTTATGCCCAATCATAAATCACTTTAATCTGAACTACGGAGCCTGTAGACAGTAAATAACCCGATTGAGATCATATTTGTTTCTTTTTGACGCTTGTTGCTTTTATTTTGTTAGTCGACTCCCAGTTTTTGAATTTAATGCTTTTATTTTGCAGTTTATTTTGTGCAGCAGCAACTTGGAACAAAAAGACATTAATAAATGTATCTTGTTATTAGTGGCAGAGGCATAAGGTAAGTTTATTTTGCAACTAGGATATTTTTAATATTGATCGATTGGAATTGTGATTTTTGCTTTAATCAAATACGGTGCAGTTTTTGAAATGGTTGATGTTGATTGAACTTTGTTTTCAGACGTTACGGTTGGAAGAGCGTCGCATGTTTTCTGTCTTGTTCTTTAGTTTGTGCAGCAGCTCTGATGGTTTATTTCAATAAACCTGGATATTGATCAGAAAAACCAAGATCTGCTGCTCCTTTTAACCTTTTTATTTCTTGAAAACATCAATTATGATCAAGTCAATGTGGCTTTTGTGACAATAAATAAATCAAATATTTTTCCAGAAGAATTTGTTGCTGAGAAATATGAAGTTTATTAAATTGTCTGATGGATCAGCAAATAAAACCTGATATGAACTGAAATAGTTTTAATCCAAATGTTTTTAACCGATGGACTGAAATGTGTTTATGGGAGGTTAAAGGTCAAAGGTCAGAGTTGCTGTAGTGAAGCAGAAGCTGCAGGTGTTCGAGCAGCAGGTGGCGCTGCTGCACAGGATTACATTCAGAAGAACAGATGAACCAGGAAGTGAGATATGTGGAGGTGACGTCATATTTCCACCAGATAATCTGAAGTGGCGCCCCCTGCAGACGACAAATTAAATAATCTGAATGTTTCCTCCAAACCAGGAAGTTTAACTTTGAAACAACAAACCGGAAGGAGCCTGAAGTTCAGGTCAACATTTCTCCATCTTCCTGTGAACTCTGCGTTCAGAGGACAGGAAGTGAGTAGGATGGAGTTTCCTGTTTCTGCTGTTGCCATGGAGATGCGCTGACATGAGTTAATGCTTTACTGCTAACATTTCGATCTGTGTGAACTGCCTCGAGAATGCAGGCATGGTACATGGTCCACTCAGACTCAATGTCCCCCACCACAGAATGTGTTCGAAGCTCTGCCGGAGATGGGAGTTAAAGCCCCGTCTCACAGGGGATTCTGTAGACGTTTCCAGCAGATGCTCACAATATGTTTGGTCCTGCCAGGTCTGACCTGCAACTTCCCCCACCACCGTAGCCAATTCACCACCAGGTTGGTGGACAACTCAGTACATCTCTTCACCCGAGTGTCCAAGACATATGGCCGCAGATCCGATGAAACAATGACAAAATCGATCATCAAACTGCAGCCTAGGCTGTCCTAGTGCCAAGTACACATATGGACACCCTTAGGCCTGAACATGGTGTTCGTTATGGACAATCCGTGACGAGCCCAGAAGTCCAACAACAGAACACCACTAGAACTAATGTGGTGTGGGTTAGTTTACACGCTGTTTACATGCTGTGGGTTAGTTTACAGGCTGTGGGTTAGTTTATGTGCTGTGGGTTAGTTAACATGCTGTGGGTTAGTTAACATGCTGTGGGTTAGTTTACATTCTATGGGTTAGTTTACAGGCTGTGGGTTAGTTTACATGCTGTGGGTTAGTTTATGTGCTGTGGGTTAGTTTATGTGTTGTGGGTTAGTTTACATGCTGTGGGTTAGTTTACGTGCTGTGGGTTAGTTTACGTGCTGTGGGTTAGTTTACAGGCTGTGGGTTAGTTTACAGGCTGTGGGTTAGTTTACATGCTGTGGGTTAGTTTACGTGCTGTGGGTTAGTTTATGTGCTGTGGGTTAGTTTACATGCTGTGGGTTAGTTTACATGCTGTGGGTTAGTTTACGTGCTGTGGGTTAGTTTACATGCTGTGGGTTAGTTTACAGGCTGTGGGTTAGTTTACAGGCTGTGGGTTAGTTTACAGGCTGTTGGTTAGTTTACATGCTGTGGGTTAGTTTATGTGCTGTGGGTTAGTTTATGTGCTGTGGGTTAGTTTACATGCTGTGGGTTAGTTTACATGCTGTGGGTTAGTTAACATGCTGTGGGTTAGTTTACATGCTGTGGGTTAGTTTACATGCTGTGGGTTAGTTAACATGCTGTGGGTTAGTTTACATGTTGTGGGTTAGTTTACATGTTGTGGGTTAGTTTACATGCTGTGGGTTAGTTTACATGCTGTGGGTTAGTTTACATCCTATGGGTTAGTTTACGTGCTGTGGGTTAGTTTACATGCTGTGGGTTAGTTTACATCCTGTGGGTTAGTTTACATGCTGTGGGTTAGTTTACATCCTGTGGGTTAGTTTACGTGCTGTGGGTTAGTTTACATGCTGTGGGTTAGTTAACATGCTGTGGGTTAGTTAACATGCTGTGGGTTAGTTTACATGCTGTGGGTTAGTTTACGTGCTGTGGGTTAGTTTACATGCTGTGGGTTAGTTTACGTGTTGTGGGTTAGTTTACATGCTGTGGGTTAGTTTATGTGCTGTGGGTTAGTTTACATGCTGTGGGTTAGTTTACATCCTATGGGTTAGTTTACGTAATGTGGGTTAGTTTACACATTGTGGGTTAGTTTACATGCTGTGGGTTAGTTTACATGCTGTGGGTTAGTTTACGTGTTGTGGGTTAGTTTACAGGCTGTGGGTTAGTTTACAGGCTGTGGGTTAGTTTACGTGTTGTGGGTTAGTTTACATGCTGTGGGTTAGTTTACATGCTGTGGGTTAGTTTACATGCTGTGGGTTAGTTTATGTGCTGTGGGTTAGTTTACATGCTGTGGGTTAGTTTACATGCTGTGGGTTAGTTTACGTGCTGTGGGTTAGTTTACATGCTGTGGGTTAGTTAACATGCTGTGGGTTAGTTTATGTGTTGTGGGTTAGTTTACATGTTGTGGGTTAGTTTACATGCTGTGGGTTAGTTTACATGCTGTGGGTTAGTTTACATGCTGTGGGTTAGTTTACATACTATGGGTTAGTTTACATGTTGTGGATGAGTTTACAAGCTGTGGGTTAGTTTACATGCTGTGGGTTAGTTTACGTGCTGTGGGTTAGTTTACATGCTGTGGGTTAGTTTACAGGCTGTGGGTTAGTTTACATGCTGTGGGTTAGTTTACATGCTGTGGGTTAGTTTACATGCTGTGGGTTAGTTAACATGCTGTGGGTTAGTTTACATTCTATGGGTTAGTTTACAGGCTGTGGGTTAGTTTACATGCTGTGGGTTAGTTTACATGCTGTGGGTTAGTTTACATGCTGTGGGTTAGTTTACGTGTTGTGGGTTAGTTTACATGCTGTGGGTTAGTTTATGTGTTGTGGGTTAGTTTACGTGCTGTGGGTTAGTTTACATGCTGTGGGTTAGTTTACGTCATGTGGGTTAGTTTACGTCATGTGGGTTAGTTTATGTGCTGTGGGTTAGTTTACGTGCTGTGGGTTAGTTTACATCCTGTGGGTTAGTTTACATGCTGTGGGTTAGTTTACAGGCTGTGGGTTAGTTTACGTGCTGTGGGTTAGTTTACATGCTGTGGGTTAGTTTACAGGCTGTGGGTTAGTTTACATGCTGTGGGTTAGTTTATGTGCTGTGGGTTAGTTTACATGCTGTGGGTTAGTTTACATGCTGTGGGTTAGTTTACGTGCTGTGGGTTAGTTTACATGCTGTGGGTTAGTTAACATGCTGTGGGTTAGTTTACATCCTATGGGTTAGTTTACGTGATGTGGGTTAGTTTACATGCTGTGGGTTAGTTTACATGCTGTGGGTTAGTTTACGTGTTGTGGGTTAGTTTACATCCTGTGGGTTAGTTTACGTGATGTGGGTTAGTTTACATGCTGTGGGTTAGTTTACAGGCTGTGGGTTAGTTTACGTGCTGTGGGTTAGTTTACATGCTGTGGGTTAGTTTACAGGCTGTGGGTTAGTTTACATGCTGTGGGTTAGTTTACGTGCTGTGGGTTAGTTTACATGCTGTGGGTTAGTTTACATGCTGTGGGTTAGTTTACGTGCTGTGGGTTAGTTTACATGCTGTGGGTTAGTTAACATGCTGTGGGTTAGTTTATGTCATGTGGGTTAGTTTACGTCATGTGGGTTAGTTTACATGCTGTGGGTTAGTTTATGTGCTGTGGGTTAGTTTACGTCCAGTGGGTTAGTTTATGTGCTGTGGGTTAGTTTACATAATGTGGGGTTAGTTTATATGCTGTGGGTTAGTTTATGTGCTGTGGGTTAGTTAACAGGCTGTGGGTTAGTTTACACGCTGTGGGTTAGTTTACATGCTGTGGGTTAATTTATGTGCTGTGGGTTAGTTTATGTGCTGTGGGTTAGTTAACAGGCTGTGGGTTAGTTAACAGGCTGTGGGTTAGTTTACATAATGTGGGGTTAGTTTATATGCTGTGGGTTAGTTTATGTGCTGTGGGTTAGTTAACAGGCTGTGGGTTAGTTTACACGCTGTGGGTTAGTTTACATGCTGTGGGTTAATTTATGTGCTGTGGGTTAGTTTATGTGCTGTGGGTTAGTTAACAGGCTGTGGGTTAGTTAACAGGCTGTGGGTTAGTTTACATAATGTGGGGTTAGTTTATATGCTGTGGGTTAGTTTATATGCTGTGGGTTAGTTTATGTGCTGTGGGTTAGTTTACAGGCTGTGGGTTAGTTTATGTGCTGTGGGTTAGTTTACATGCTGTGGGTTAGTTTACATGCTGTGGGTTAGTTTACATGCTGTGGGTTAGTTTACAGGCTGTGGGTTAGTTTACATGCTGTGGGTTAGTTTACATGCTGTGGGTTAGTTTACAGGCTGTGGGTTAGTTTATATGCTGTGGGTTAGTTTACAGGCTGTGGGTTAGTTTACAGGCTGTGGGTTAGTTTACATGCTGTGGGTTAGTTTACAGGCTGTGGGTTAGTTTACAGGCTGTGGGTTAGTTTATATGCTGTGGGTTAGTTTACAGGCTGTGGGTTGGTTTACAGGCTGTGGGTTAGTTTATGTGCTGTGGGTTAGTTAACAAGCTGTGGGTTAGTTAACAGGCTGTGGGTTAGTTTATGTGTTGTGGGTTAGTTTAAGTGCTGTGGGTTAGTTTACAGGCTGTGGGTTAGTTTACATGCTGTGGGTTAGTTTACATGCTGTGGGTTAGTTTACATGCTGTGGGTTAGTTTACGTGCTGTGGGTTAGTTTACATGCTGTGGGTTAGTTTACATGCTGTGGGTTAGTTAACAGGCTGTGGGTTAGTTTAAGTGCTGTGGGTTAGTTAACGGGCTGTGGGTTAGTTAACAGGCTGTGGGTTAGTTTATGTGCTGTGGGTTAGTTTATGTGCTGTGGGTTAGTTAACATGCTGTGGGTTAGTTTACGTGCTGTGGGTTAGTTTACATGCTGTGGGTTAGTTTACATGCTGTGGGTTAGTTTACATCCTATGGGTTAGTTTACGTGCTGTGGGTTAGTTTACATGCTGTGGGTTAGTTTACGTGATGTGGGTTAGTTTACATGCTGTGGGTTAGTTTACATCCTGTGGGTTAGTTTACGTGCTGTGGGTTAGTTTACATGCTGTGGGTTAGTTAACATGCTGTGGGTTAGTTAACATGCTGTGGGTTAGTTTACATGCTGTGGGTTAGTTTACGTGCTGTGGGTTAGTTTATGTGCTGTGGGTTAGTTTACATGCTGTGGGTTAGTTTACATGCTGTGGGTTAGTTTATGTGCTGTGGGTTAGTTTATGTGCTGTGGGTTAGTTTACATGCTGTGGGTTAGTTTACGTCATGTGGGTTAGTTTACGTCATGTGGGTTAGTTTATGTGCTGTGGGTTAGTTTAAGTGCTGTGGGTTAGTTCGTCATGTGGGTTAGTTTACAGGCTGTGGGTTAGTTAACATGCTGTGGGTTAGTTTAAGTGCTGTGGGTTAGTTTACATGCTGTGGGTTAGTTTACAGGCTGTGGGTTAGTTTACATGCTGTGGGTTAGTTTATGTGCTGTGGGTTAGTTTACATGCTGTGGGTTAGTTTACATGCTGTGGGTTAGTTTACATGCTGTGGGTTAGTTTACATGCTGTGGGTTAGTTAACATGCTGTGGGTTAGTTTACATCCTGTGGGTTAGTTTACGTAATGTGGGTTAGTTTACATGTTGTGGGTTAGTTTACATGCTGTGGGTTAGTTTACGACATGTGGGTTAGTTTACGTCATGTGGGTTAGTTTACGTGATGTGGGTTAGTTTACAAGCTGTGGGTTAGTTTACAGGCTGTGGGTTAGTTTACGTGCTGTGGGTTAGTTTACATGCTGTGGGTTAGTTTACAGGCTGTGGGTTAGTTTACATGCTGTGGGTTAGTTTATGTGCTGTGGGTTAGTTTACATGCTGTGGGTTAGTTTACATGCTGTGGGTTAGTTTATG